ATCACTCATGATAAAAGAGAGCTGATTTTATGTATGTAGATTTAGCTACCTGTACAGAGTCAAATTTCATTAAACGTAATTATATAAATGTGATTAGAAACATTTAAATTGAGTAAGTCAAAAAAGAATTAAGCAAACCTTACCTAGTGGCTGAGCACGGGTTGTAGTTGTAGTTGGAACTATTGTTGTAGTTGTGATGTTCGTCACTATTGATAATGGTAGAAAATTCATTCATAAAGGTCATTTAGTTCTATGTCTAACATAGGAAATGATATAAAAAGTTATTGCTGTTAAGACTTTACAGTAGTACCCTAATTAGGTGAACCTTAGATTCCTGAAACTGGTTCACGCTCTACTGTGCTATGCAAAAAATACAAATGGATGTTGGACGTACATTTTTGTAGATGCTGCTGTGTGCCTGTTCTTTAATGAACATGTATACAGAAAACTCACAGTCACATCTTCACTCTCAAGATAACTGATGGTTCTTTTACTTGTTATTGGTGGGCAGAGTTGTCGATTGTAAGTCGGTATTGGATAACAAACAGGCGTGCTCTGACATCGAGGATGATGAACACATCTATACTGTTCAGGGTTATCACAGAGATTATTTTGAGTGCATTTAAATAGCTCAAAGCAATCTGCCGAAAATTGATCGATACAGATACCGATGTTGATAGTTCCTGCGATATATAAACATGCACAGCCACTATTTGACGAGCAGTGATCATATTGAGCCATACCATTACAAAATTGAGATTTAACTTCAACTAACAATACACTAAATAGAAAAAAAGAATAAATCTGTAAAGCTTTAAAGAAAGATTTCTCGATGTTCAGTCCGTAGAAAAATAACAGAACTACCTGCATAGAAGGAGTAAGAAACAGGAGATTGTTTTTGTAGACATCGTTTTTGTTAAAATGAAATGCAACAGCGACAGCATACATCTTTATATATGATCGATAGTCAATCTTTCGCACATTCACTGAAAGTGAAAAAAACGACGCAATCCTTCGATAGTTAAAAATTCGATATTGTTCCGATGCTTTCGTCACAATTTAACATTGCTCGGGAAACTAATCCTGAAAGCAGAAAAAAAAGTCCAATTAAACAAAATGATTGAAACAGCTCGTTTCAGAATGTGTGCGTGTGAAGGACTGAATGTAAGTCCCACCTGGGGGTGGAACTTTAACTTTAAATTGATCGTAAAGTGCAGAGTTTAAAGCTATCTAAAGTCACGCTTAAATGCTTCTTTTTGGCGTTTTATCTGTTGCAGAGAGTCACATAGGCATGACTAAACACATCAGTACAGTAAAAAGTATTAAAAAGAAGCGTTTAAAGGCGACTTTTAACAACGTTAAACTTTAAACTTTCCGGTTAAAGTAAAGTTAAAGTGCCACCACTAGTTCCACCTACTGGACGTTGTCCCAGTTGACTTAGATATTTTAGATACAACATTGGATTTTTATATTCTAAAATACATGTTTTTTTCCGAAACAAAATTATTTCTATAAAATTGATGACATGCCATTTCAATTGGACACAATGAATCATAAGATTATAAGCGATATAAAAATATGATGATTGTGCATTAGTAAATAGACTTTGAAATTGATTTTCAATTTAGCATGACACAATCGTGGTTAATACAACTAACCACTTCGAAAGTACGAATGATCAGATAGGTTCAAGTTACAATTGTTTTTGTCTCAATATTTTATTTTTATGACCTTTACCTGTTTTTCATCAAAATATCACACAAAGAAAAAACTGGCAGCAAGAGTTACAATCTGATGAAGGGTAACCTGAGGGAAAAGTGTACCATTGTATTATAGTGGGAAATTACATTAAACAAAGCGACATGGAAAACTAGGGTGTGGGTGTGGATGTGAGTGAGCATATATAGAGTGCATGTACCTAATAAGAACGGGGATTTTTTATGTTCATGTTTCGACTATAATATCTCTGTGAAATAGTGAGCAAATGAGCTGAAATTTTGCATCAAAATAGAAAAAATTCTTTTCTATCTATTGGCGAAAGAATTTTTGAAAAAAGTTGAGAAATGATCGAGTTATGAGCGGTAGTTTGCAGTCACCTGATGCCGTTCTAAATAAAAGCGCTATCCTCAATAAGAACGCTAATGCAAAAGTTGTCCCTAATTAGAACGCACCAGAAAAAATACATTGAATAACGGGTAGCATTCGAAAATCATGTCATATCTGCTTAGAAACTTTAAAATCGAACTCAACCTCCGCTAGACAACTTATTCATTACACATTTCTCTATCATTCTCTAGAGGTTGAACTTGATACATTGCTCAGTTAATTAGATAGAATCAAAACAATCTCCATTAATTGAATAAAAAAACGTTTTAAATAAGTACAGGTCTCCAATTAGAACGCACATGTAAATATTGTCCCTTATTAGAACGCGTCTATTCAAAATGTATGCATAGTATATGATATAACGTAGTTTCGTCTCTCTCTGCTACCGAACTTCAAAATTGACTCTTGGTCCTGGAACAAAAGTTGTTCAGTTCAACTTTCTCTACAACATACTAGCGGTTTAATTGAATATGATAAAAATCTCACGTTTAGTTAAGTGTATCGATTTCGAGTGGAAAATTGATGGACTGTTGTGTATTGAATTCGTCCGGTTACACTAACAATGGGTTTTATTTTTTCAGTATAAATAGATAGTGTTAAAAAATTTTCAATTTCCTACTTCATCCAATGGTAAGTATAAAGCTTCTCTTATTGATGAAATTTAATCTATTCATAAGTGAAATAGCTATATAATCCGAATTTTTTTAAAACCACGTAATTCTTTTAGATTACTAAGTACTTTTCTTTCTTTCTCTACTTAAGATATAAGTCTATTGCAGAGTATTCGTTACAGAAGTACATGATGGAAGCACTGAGATAATAATAGAACAAAAAAAGCATTCTACGAGTTCAGTTCCTTTATATTCAATAGTCATTCATGATAGCAATAAATAAAACGATTGGGATCAGAATTAACAGATCATACTTTAATAGGCTATCTTCACCACAGAATTATATAGTCGATTTACTTAACGCAGTGAAAACATTTCCACTGAAAAATGTTGTTATTTAGAAAATTCTGCGACTGAGCTACGTTATAGTTAAAGCGCTCAACTCTATTTTCCTCCAATTATTCAAAAATTCAAGGATAAACGGTAGAATTACGACTTGCAGCTCAATAGACGACAGTCTACATGCATAAAATTAATGAACAAGTACAATTTCTATCATTTGTTTACAAGCTGCTTCCATTTAAAAATGTAGAAATTGTGTACTGTTTCCAATTATACTTCATAATTAGATGTTAAAGAATCATGCAAACAATACAGGACACTTTAAGTGTAATATCAATGTTAAAATCAAAGTTTAAGTTGAAGCATCTTTTTTAAATTTTGCATTATCTCATTCAGTTTTGACCTGTTTTAAGTGACAACAGCATCTGAAGTTTGTAAACTCTTAAATTCACGAAAGAATGACATGTTTCAGAAATGTATTTGAAGAGTAGGCAATATAAGGTTGAAAAGGGTAGGCTTAAATTTTGGCCGGATATTCAAACTCTTCCAGTTCTTGACCGACCAATCCTTCAATATGACAGACCAAACTCAGTTCAGCTCAAGTTTGATTCTTAAATCTTCTTAATGTGTTAGATTAATTGAAGTTTGTCTCTGTAGAGGGATCATTTCTGACTAAAACATCATGGATAGCTTAGTATCAATTTAGACTAATATAATACGCTCACACAATTCTTTCTGAACACTGTTTGTATACATAAATCTTAATTTATGCATGTGATGTTATATGTTACACTTAGTTTACCGTTCGCCACAATTTCTTGAAATATATTCTCCAGTTTTATCATTTTCAAAAGGAAAGCTACAATTGAAGTGTTCAATATATCGTATTGGACTAAACCGCTAGTATGTTGTAGAGAAAGTTGAACTGAACAGCTTTTGTTCCAGGACCAAGAGTCAATTTTGAAGTTCGGTAGCAGAGAGAGACGAAATTACGTTATATCATATACTTTGCATGCATTTTGAACAGACGCGTTCTAATAAGGGACAGTATTTACATGTGCGTTCTAATTGGAGACATGTACTTATTTAGAACGTTTTTTTATTCAATTAATGGAGATTGTTTTGATTCTATTAGGAATGGACTTCTCCGACCGATGTCCGTAAAAAAAAATGAGGACGAAAAGGGACCCCCCCTTCATTGGCAAATTGAACAGATCTTTGTAATTAATAGAAATTCATTTTATGAGCGGGCTATTCTGGCTGAATATTGAAATAGATCCGTCTTTATGTATGAAAACAAATAGTATATAGAATGAGATCATCATCAATAGAAAACATTGTTGCACACAAAGAACCGTGTTAATCATGTAAAAACCTTTTTTCTGTTCTGTGTTTCGCTTGTTTTTTTAAATTTTGTCTGTACGAATCAATCAAGCATATCGAGCGTATTCAAAAATAGAAACACGCGTGCTGTTGTATAAATCACCTTTATAATATTCATCGTTTTCACTTCTTTTTTTGGTATAAAACTAGAAGAATTATTATTCGATTGTAATGTGTAAACATGTGGAAGCAATCAACACAAACATTTTTATCAAATAGCGTAGGCTATTTTTGTGTCTTCGTTTTTTTTTCCTTAACTACTTACATTGTTTATGTTTTTTATTCAACAATTGCACCAGCAATATTTGAAAATCGAGAGTATGGGAAATTTCTATTGCATTTTATTTTTGGTAATTGGCTTGTTGTTAATATATATTTTAATTATACTATGGCATGGCTCACATCACCTGGTCTTGCTAAGGATTACCAAACTTTGGCAATATTCTATCTGAATAGTATCATATATGTTTTAGACATGAAAACAAAGGCATAAGAAAAGAAGCGAAAAAAATATTGAATCATAAATGAATAATTTCTCCTGTGTGTAAAAAGTGTTCAATGAATAAGCCACCTCGAACTCATCATTGCAGTTGGTGTAATTTATGCATATTAAGATTCGATCATCACTGTCCATGTAAGATATTGCGAGTTTAAAAATTATATTTAATGTTAATTTATAATGAAACTATAGGGTTAAATAATTGTGTTGGTTACTTTAATCATCGTTACTTTTTTCAATTTTGTTGTTTTATGTCAGTTGGATGTCTCTATGCTGGTTGGTTTGGTTACCGTGAATATCAAATCAGTCGATTAGATGAACAAGTGTAAGTTCGGAAACATATATATTATTCATGATATTTTCGAATATTTATTAATAGATTTCGGCATACGGATTCGATTTTCAAGGTTAAGGATATTTTGTACGTTATGGGCGTAGAAGGTTTTATTACATATTACGTATTTGTGATGGCATTCGCAGCTGGTTTTATTTTAATTGCTCTCAGTGGGTTGCACGGAAAAATGATTAGCCAAGGTGAAACATCAGTCGAGCATTTACTGACTCAAAGTTCCGCTCGTCAAGATTATAAACAAGGTGCTATTTTTACCAGTATATGCGATAGGAATTTAATCGAAAATTGGAAACAATTTTTAGGTGTTCGTACTAAAGGTGAATTTATTCAACGCATTCTTTTTCCAAGTACACATAAACCAAAAGGCAATGGTATAACAACAGAAGATATGTTTTATGCACACCCACACCCACACCGAGAAGAGCGGTTTCGAACAAAATCATATGTTTCTTATGCATTGAAGATTTTTAAGCGTATCTGCAGTAATAATTTGGTTCGAATTTATCAATCAATACTACCAACAATATACGTACGACGTGAACCCCGCTACTCTAATTCGACTTATCAGTCACAATCACCATTGATAATACGAACAACTCGTTTTCAGACTTGTTAAAAACATGAACAAAATGAATGAGTTCTGTTTATAATAATTCATTTTAAGAGAAAAATGACTTTGCATCGCCTCACAAAAGAAATTTGATTATTCGAGTGTGTCACGTGCTGTTCGGGATTCATTCAAATGTGTGTTTAGGCATTATCGATTGTCGAAATAAAATTATATCCTGTCTTGGCTGAAAATCCTCTTGATGTCATATCGTCAGTTTATCATCAGACACCAGATGATTCAAGAGCATTGCATCTTGTGCTACGCAAAATAGTCAATCTTCATATACCTTGAGGGTGTGGGTGTGGGCGTAGGGTAGGGCCAAGTCTTCACGCAGACCCCCAGAAATGTAATTCAATTCTACCCTGGCTATTTTAGAATGTCTTCATGGAAATTACGGATGTGTGAAGTAAGGATGTATATAGAGACTGATGCCTAGTCCTATTGTGGTAGAAAACCTTCACAAGATACTGAGTATCTTCATGTTTAATTTTATTGCTTCGAAGGTTGTGTTTCGTCAGTAGACGTGTGAAAAATCCAGATGTTTACGAGAGAGAATGTGCGCGTTATTTTGATCTTTCCTATTACTCTCACATTTTCGCAAATCAACCCAATTGTATTCAATGAAATGATGAATTGTTTCCCATGTCGCTTCATTTTATCAACTGTGCCGCAGTTACGCGTAACTATGGCGCATTGATCGTAGTGAAGATTTCTATAAGAAACTACGCTTACTGTGATGCAGATCAACGCAACTGCGTCCTAGTGATCGCATCCTACGATCCCTTGTAGGTATAAATGGTCAATTATAAATTATTCCTCCTTATTTGTAATTGACTACACTCGAACAATAAAACATAGTCACATAAAATCAGTATAAATAACAGTGCTCGTCACATTTTCGTTCATAAGGTATTCTACTATAAGTAGTAGAGTACATATGTTTTATTTATTTTTTATTTTTCTAGATGTAAATCTTTTACTTTTCAATTTTTTGTAATTTATTTTTTTTTCCTTTATTTATAAAATTTTTTTAAATTGTTTTAGATATTAATATTTTTATTTTTCTAGATCTTTATTATTTATTCTCCTTAATTTTTAAAATTAAAACTTTTTTAACTGTTAACTTAGTAAATTTTGAAATGTTTTTAGGTTGTAACTTTTCAATTATTTTTTATTGTGAAAATTTTTTATTTAAAAATTGTTTTTTTTATTTTTTATAAAAATTTTAATTTTATAGTTTTAAGTTTTTTATTTTGTGAAAAAATTTTCTAAATTCACAATAAAAATACAAATAAAATGAAAGCCTAATCTATGTCATATTTTGTACCAATTGCGATGACACTGTGACCCATAACTGTGAAAAACTTGGAAGCGGTTATGCGTAACTGGGATTTTTTCACGGTAACTGCGATTTTTTCATTGTAGTTACGTCGCAATTTTCCGCAATTACGGGTCACAGTGCGATCGCAGTTACGGCGTAACTGCCCTACAGTTTCATCGTAATGAAACACATGGGAATTATTTACATCATTTCAATAATTAAGCTATCACGGAAATTACAATGATTATGTTCGATGTTAACCTGTAATTACTTTTAAGTTTCATTATTTCTAACCTGTAGATGTAGATGTAGATGTAGACTGCAAAGTTTACATTTAAGTTCGTTTTTATTCATCGACGCGTGCACAAATGTAGTTTTTTGTCATCCTAATGAACCTCGATGTTTAGTAAAAGAAATAAGAATATTGACTAGATATGTCTGGATGAATTTCATTTATGTTAAAGCTTGTAAAGAAAATTTTTAAAGCTAAAGAAGTATCATCAGTCAGAGTTCACCTACAATTTAGCACTTTATTTAAAAACAAAAAAAGCATCAAACGATTTCTTCCAATCAAAGAAAACTGTCGATGACTGACTGTTTCCTTAGTCGTGAACTATGAAACTTTCAACTACCCTCATGTCATGCCAATGTACAGCTATGATCTTAATGCATTTCTTTATCGAATTTACGAAGTTTTTCTTCATTGTATTAAAGTTTTTGGTTTTATTCTAATCATTGAATTCCTGATTGCCTAAATATTCTCTATGTAATATTGTCTTCGTCGTATTCGAGCAGATGTTTTATGTGCATTAGTTTTTCTTCATATTTCCGTGTCATTCGTTCATTCCATTGGTACTCGTCAATATTGATCTTCATTTGAAAATGAGCATGATGACGGTATTTTCCATGATTCAAAACCATACTTTTCCAATCACAGCCTTCTTCATCTAATAACACTTGCGTATCGTGCCAAAAGCTAGTCATTGCTTCTTCAGACATTTCAGAAAGTCGTTCTATGTGTTGTCGTGGTGTAACAACTAGCTTATTTCTCAATTTTATATCTAGCCAAATACATGTAGTTGGATTCTGTTTGATCAAGCTGATTTGTGATAATTTGTTGTTTAGATCACAAAAAATACATTCGTCATATTGAACTGGACCGGAATAATTATTAACGTCCTTGTGTATGAAAATTATTGTAAAACCATCCGGATCTTGATTTCGCAATCGCATCTGAAAATCATAGATTTTGCTTTTTTCTTCTATCATGAATAATAACCCTTGTAAGTAGCTTTGGATTGATCGTTGATCGATTAACTGTTCCAACGGCAATTGAGACTGAAAAGCATAACCAAGTTTAATCGAATATGGAATCGACAAATCAGAATTCATTGTATCATCAATGCTGGCTGATTGTTGATTCATAATTGATAGTTTAGACAATTCACTATTCGAATAATCTGAGTCTCCCTCCATTGTTAATTTTTTTAATCTGAAATCACAGTGACAGTAATATCAAAAAATAGGTTTGTCATAAATATCAAACTTGAAACTTAAACTTGATTGAAGTTTCGAAGTTCAAATGTAAAATGAAAAAGTTGAAACCTGCATCAAATTCAAATGTCAAGCTTGGTAAATAGCAGGAAGCATTTCATTTTTTATTAATAACACCAAGAATCGTGAAATCAGAAAATGCATAGCAAAAGAAATAAAAGAAAATTTTTCCGTAAACATTAGAAAAGCACAACTGTGAAATAAAACGACTTTTAATGTTGCCTTCTTTTTATGGTTGCTTTGAACTTTTCTTTTATTTCTTTTTCTATACATTGCCTGATTTCATGATTGCTGACGGTGTAAATGAAACACCTCACTAAGAAATTATTAAAATCTTATCGATCACATCTCTTAGTTTTAATCAATGTTTCCACTTCAGATTTAGATCATTGACTTCGAAGGCACTGAAAAACACTTCAGAAATCCTGACAACGTGTGTCGTAGAAAAGTGCTTTCGTTGTACATCTGTTTCTTATGTTATTCAGGCGGAATCAACTTGGATTTCTTGACTGAAAGAAACAAGAGAATCTATAAAAAAAATGAAGACTGAAAAGAGGAAATAAAAAAAAGAAATGGTGATGACGCCATTGTATCCCGAATAAATCTAGCAGCAAGCGACAGATTAAAGAAAATATTCTTCAAAATTTGATCCAAATACAGCAATTTTTTCTTGATGCAACAATAGCTGCTATTCACTCGGTACGAAACATACATATGATTAGCTCGGTGGGTCAAATGTTTTTATTAATTACTTTGTCGAAGAATGCATGATAATTATTTTTCTGTACTAAATAAAGTGTAATAATATCACAGTAACACTAGCATTCAATGCACTGTTACTCTGACTATATTCTGTTGTCATTTCTTTGTAAAATGTATACAAACGACAAATTACTAACAAAGATATAGTGAAAGAATCACTCTACAATAACATAGATACGAAAGAATTCATGATGTGAAAGAATGATAAAAGATGATATACTCATTTTTTTCCTCCGATCAGTACAAATCGACAAATATGAATAGCCAGAGTTTGTCTCAAAGCGTCTGTTGATGATAAGTAGCAATGGCATACTGTACGTAGATATAACCTAACATAAAATTTTTGTTTTTTAATTTTGATTACTTCAATCGATTCTAATTCATTGGCTATGTTTTACTGGTTCTCAATTCTGTCGAGATGAAACATTATATGATTATGCTTGACTATGTATGGTGATTGTTCAGGTTAGTAGTGAAATCAGTCACTTATCGACAAAATGAGTTTTCAAAAAACTTATGGATGTTGCTTAATTCTTATTTGTGACACACAGGGGAGATTTTTTGACGAAAAATCATATTTCTGACAATTTGAAGACGAGTACTATACATTACGTTTAATTCCATATTTATATCAGGAAGAAAATACCTATGAAAAAGTTGAATAAAAGACAGTTCATGGGTCTATAGTAGCATGATTCTATCCAAAGAACGAAAAGCAATACGAATAATGCACGATAAGCTATACCAACACTATAATCAAAAGTATTTCCATCAATGTGATGGAAAATCCATCAGATAATTGAATGAGATTAATTTCATCGATCGTATTACAGAAACCCGTACTGACATTGAAAGTTATATTATGGGTGAGAATAACATTTGCAAATACGAAGTATAACTTTGTTTTGTTCATTTTGTTTCGACTTGATATTCGAGAGCAACCATAGGACTGCGAGTCTTCTGTAATCCTCAGTACAGAAGTCTCGTTTTTTTCTCTATTAATGAGCACAATTATCAACGTGGACGTCTACACAAAACAAAAAACTCAAATCCACTGCTAAATTTCCTTACTTCAACAGCTCTCTATACTTGAATGTATTATATAGTTTCGAAACGGTTTCATTTGCTTTTGTTGTTTATTGTATTATAGTTTTTATTCTAATTAATTGTATAACAGGTTTATGTTTAGATTTTTAATAATGATTATTTTGCTTTAGAAACAAACGATCAGATTAATATCGAATCATATCACTAACGTAAGTATGAAATCTAATGAATATGTATGTGTTCGATTAATTGATTTAAGCTTTTAGGCGTAATGAGAACTTGTAAATCAGGTTAAACCACTGGAAAAGAGATCGTTTTATCATTCACACAGATTCTAATTCAAATATAATATGTTAAACTGAATTTTAAGTCTCGAAAATAATGTGCTAGATACATATAGAGTAGGTTACCAATTCTAGAATTTAGATTTCTTTTTCATATCGTAAATACGTAATCATCACTGAAAAATTTAGATTCGGTAGCAAGGCGGAAACGGCGGACTTGAAGTATAAAAGTACGCCAAAGTAAGCTACTTCAAATAGCTGAAAGTAACTTCAAGTTCAAACGTCCGCAGTTTCCCCTTGTTCGGTAGTAAAATAACAAGTTGAATTTGAATCACCAAATATCATGCATATTATTCATTTTGAAAATAAGATAGAATTTAAATCATGTTTTCATTCAATCAAATGAAACAATTGAATTTGATTAAGAGTTGACTGAGCTTCATCAGTTTCTTTTTATAAGTAATTTTGAGGATATTCTTTATAATAATTATCAATAAAAATAATCAAATACAGAAAGAAAGAGTTCACATGACACTAAGCTACATCAAAAAAAAAATGCAAACGTAATTCAAAATAAACAAAATGGTGTAATCATTTTAAAAAAATAATATCAATTTTGGCTTATAATTCATATTTGACCTGTGCTGGAGATTTTAAATTGATATAAATATCATTTTTTGATGCACCAATAACACGAATACCCTAAGTTAATTTTAAAAAAACGCTATTCAGTATTTAAGAAAATGTTATTTTGAATTTTACCATATATGTCAATAAGGCTTCAGTATTAAGCTGCATCTTATTTTTCAACTCCAGATAAGTCTCTAAAATTTTATCAATACCGTACATAAAGAACAAAAATAATAAAACATTTAGTAATATAACCTGTTTCAGTAGAATATCGCGCTCGAACAGCTTGTGCTTCAGCATCAGCTCTGTTAAAAACAAATTTTTATAGTGTTGAATAAGAAAAATTATTACTGATTTCGAATAATTGTACTGTCTGTATCAGCACGTTCGTGAATAATTTGAGCTTGTTTTAGTGCCTTTTGATATTCCGTACGAGCTTGTGTTAACAAGATTGGTCGTTCATTTTCAGCTATCTAACATGAATTTCAAGTTAATTAACAAAAACAAATGTAAGAATTTCAATATATGTACTAACTTTAATATTTTCTTTTGCTGCTTCTTTATCTTTGACAGCTGTTTCAAACACAGATGGTCGACGAACATCATTGACCTATTTAAGAAACGTCAACTTGTTTGAAGCTTTATGAAACAATAATTTTACTTGTAAATCTCGTAGAATAGCATAGAATGGAGTTAATGCATTTTTCATTTCCTAGTCAAATTTTGATAGCAATAAATTAATTTTATCAATAAAGAAAGAGTTTCTTACATCCAATAGTTTAATTTGAAAATAGCCTCTCATACTTTGAAATGCAGTTGTGTTAAAGCTATAAAAACAATAGTATCAATTATAATTATCAGCTCATGAAAATAAATAATGTGAAATCATTTCAATAATGAATCAAGTTTAAAGACTGCCAGTAATAGAAATTGTTTTTTTGGCTTTCATTATCTTACAAATAGTCATCAAAGTACAAAAATTAAAAAATTCGGCTTCAAAACATTTCTCGATGCTTTCGGTGATCTCTCTCGCTCTCTATGAAGTTTATTAGTAAATGTCTCAATGATTTATCCTTACTGTGCACACGTATCATGAACAGTTGTTTGTCCTGTGGCATAAAGAATTTCTTTATAGCCGTCAAAATCTTTAAATTGAACAACAATATCATATAAATAGACGGGATCGATTCGAAACTGAAAAGTTACATCAAGGCTAATCGAAACACCATCGTAATTAAGACACTAAATAAAAATCTGCTATTCAAGAATAAAGCAAATTAATAACAAACTGATATATCGTCAAATAGCATTGAAGTAAATACACTTGGAAAAGTAATAAGTGTAAAACCTGGTGAACCAAAATGTAAACCGGCTGTTTTTACTTCTCGACGTAGATTCTTTGTGATTGCATTGTAAGGAATAGCGACTGGAAAAAGAAACAAAATAAAATTCTTCAAACAAATTTATTTAATAGTCACCCTCGTCCGTATCAATTCGGCCCATACTAGAGATAAAAAGTGATAAAATCGTAATCAATGCTAAGCCAACGCCAACAGCGATTAGAATATGTGTTGTATTTGGCATGTTGAGAAAAAGAAAAAGAAATTTTCTAAAACTAAATGAATAATGAAAATTTCCATTCAATAAATACATATATTTATCATTAGAAAAGCAATCTAGTTTATTTACATCTATATATTCGTTATATATTATGTATCTCTTTGACCATGGTTGATTGTATTTTATCATGAGATATTTTTCATTTACAATACAGATATAATACGTTTCGACATTGTTTCAATTATTTATTGTATCTGTCAGCGAGTTAAAGAATTCATTTTACTATCAACGTACAAAACTACTATTCCTATGTAAGTTCAATGTGATATTAAATTTTATACAGTTGATCATGAATCTTTCTCTGAAAATTAATTTTGCTATATAATTTCAGAAAAGCCACCGGTGTAATAACTGAAGATGCATCTTCAACTGGTATTTTCTAGTGAGATCATTGGATAATAATTTCCATTTATCATCATAAATATATTCCGTGAAACGTTTTCCCTATAATCAAATTTTTATTTTTATAAATAATGCAATATCATGCATAAGTGACATAGAAAAGAAATTCATAATTAATGAATGACCATCTCCATAGAGGATTGTATCTAAAAAAAACATTCAAAGCAGAATTAATCCAATGAAATATGTACTTCTTTTGATCTTTTACCATACTATCATACAAAAAGCAATTCGTTGAATGAGAATAAAAGTAAGTATATATGAATCATCGAAAAGTATACTCTTATGAATAAAAAGTAAAGTTGAACATTTGCAGAAAATGAATTATGAAAAATTCTTTGCTTTATCCCCTAGTCAACTCTCCCTAGAAGAATCCCCAGGGAGTCCCTAGGGATTTCGTTCTTTTGCAGGGGCTCCCTGGGAACTCCGCGAGGAGTCGTCGGGGGAGAATGGATTAGGGTCTTTAAAAAAAGCTACGAATATTTTAAGATTAATCGGTTTATTTTCGAGATTGCCACAAGTCGTCATTGAAGGGATACATTTTTCATCAGTGGAAACAGAAAATGAAAGAAAAGAAGTCTCAGCGAGTATACTCGATACCAGAAAATTATAATGACAGCCAAAGATAACCATAAAAGTATTTTGTATTTTCAATGAGCTCTCTCGATGTTCGTACAATAAAAGTGATTATTATTTTCCTCTAAGTGTGAAAAAGATTTCTGTACATATTCGAATTTCGATGGTATTTTATTCTCTATACAGATCTTATCGAAAAACCATAACGTAATTGGTGAAAATATAAAATTTTAAACAAAAAACTAAAACCTACTTTATATCAACATGCTTAGCATCGATTTGAAAATTTCAATGATAATTTATAGTCATGGTAAAATGTTCGATCACTAAAAAGTGTAAAGTTGATATCGATCATGCTTGCTTCGAATTGTTTTTATTTCATAATTCGATCGTCAACGTCATCATCAATAAAAATGATTGAAATAAAAATCTCATCTAAAGAATATAATTATATACATGGTATATAGGAAAATTTTTATTGCTTGATGAAAACTATGCATCATTTTATACAAAAGGAAAAAAAATAAAATTGCTCTTTTTACATAAAAATATATATAGACAAGTTCAATAACATTAGTAAAAATAAAAATATCAAAATAAGTGTAGATTAACCATTCATCTTAAAGTATACTCTACTATTTACAATATTCATAACATTTACTGTTTTCATTACTTTCACTCAGTTATTAACTTGCTTGACTGCCCATCAATCTTTTTGTTCCGCTGGTTTAACCAATAACATCACAGGTGTACGACTTAAAAATAAATCAATATTTTGACCAATTTGCACTGTTCTTTCCATGAATCTGGTTTTTATTTGTGTATTAGCTACTGTTTGTTTTATATATGCATGTTTAGCAGATAATAATGCAATTAAATCATCCCGATGCACTTGAGATAAAAGTTTTCCATTCTCTTGGATAGCCTTAATAATATCGGTTTCTTGTATAACACAAAAATTCATCTCAACATCTTCATGTGAATCAACAACAGATAAAGCAATGAGCAATTGCGCAGCATAATAAGTTGTCATAACAAGAATCTGTGAATGTACTAAAGGAGTTACAAAACGATCAAGTGCAAGTAGTGCATCACTAGTAGCAAAAAGTATGCCACCTAAAAGAGAATGATTTAGAACTTAAAATTTGATTATCTTATTTTTTTTAAATCTTACCAAGAAAACTATAAAATCTTGTCCATGTCCATTCATTATTGTCAATCTTTATTCTAGCCATAGCTCGCCATATCATAAACATTGTTAAAAAGATATAAGCATAAATCTATTCACAACAGATAATATTCATAATGGATTAAAAAATATAGATAAAAAAACTACCTACCACATAAGATAATGGCTTATAGAGAACACCAGAAAGCATCAAATAAATTACTATCACTGGTAAGAACATGAATGGTAACATAAATCCTCGTAGTGGTCTCATACCATATGCACTTGCATATAAAATATGTGATATACCAAATGCTAAAATACCGTGAATAAAAAAGGAATGATCATAGACAAGTAAGGCATCTCCAAGTAATGAAAAAGCTAAGCCAGTTAAAATTCTTCTGGAATATGAATACTCGAATCCACGTAAATTAATTCCATTTAATAGTATAAATAAAATTAATGAGCATATTGGTAAACATTTAAATGTTAAATAAAATACGTCAGCAGTTTTATACTTCGACTTAGGAAAAAGTATAAAGAAAATGGCAACTGTTTTAAAAAATGGTACAAGTTTTGGACCATTGCATTTTATTACATTGGGTAATTTTGTCAAAATATTAGTTTGACCCAAAATTGTACTCTTCGTCATTGACATCGTGTTTGCAGGTCTGAAAAAAAAATTATGAAAATGTCTTTTTGTGTTGCTTTCTTTTTATATAATATTCTATTCTACATTTTCTCGAGTCACATATTATAAATAGATCACACGGACGCATAAAGTCATATGACAACGAAAGTGAAATCAAAAGACGACATTAATATAAGAACTTTGTACTCGAGACAAACAGAAAAGATATTTCATTATTTATAAATGTAAAATATTTTTAAAAGAATAAATAAATAAATAATGACAAATTTTATTCATTCTATGAGATTAGCAACATCAGAAATAAATAAGCAAATGCTGCAATAATTATTTCTATTATACATCAGTCTTTACTGAGTGAAATTAATTGTATTCCGTATTTATTCGTATGATAATAGAACATGTGATGATCATGAGTTATGTACTAATAAGATAATAATCAACTTATTACTGGCATTACTACTAGCGACAAAGAGTAGTTTTTTTTCTTGAAAACTTCTGTTATTCAATAATGCTATTTAAAATAATGATAGATATGAATGAAAAACAATTTTCTAAATAATCTATGTGAATCACATACTACAGTGCCCTCTTTCATTAATCATTGATATATTCAAGTTCTGCATTTGACCAACACGAAACGAAAAATTTGTTCTGTTACCTAATGCTATGATAAAAGACGTCAGTTGCAAATTACTCTATCTTTTATAGATATATATATATATATATATATATATATATTCGAAATATTAAGAGGCGTTTTGTTTTTTTATAAATATTATTGTTGAATGGTCCATCAATAATGATGACCGTCATGTCACTGATTTCATCATATTTTCTTCTTATGTTTATTCCAATTATCTTTTCGGATGTTTATGTGGTATGATGCAAAAAAAAGAATTATTTACTTAAGATGATAATTTTTTTCTTTTTTTTTATTAGTACAATGACTCAAATAAATTAATCGATGATTATGATGATCAAACTGCTAACTTTGGACCAGCATTTCCAGCAAAAGGCTTAAAAGTAAAATCTTTTCATTATTATTTTATTATTCTATTTTTTATATATGCCATGAAAGGGTTATGTCACAACAACACACCCAGAAAATGGATGTAAAAAGATATTACCACCACCAAAAATTCCAATAGGGATCTATCATTGGATTGCACTAATTCCTCGAACACGAGGAAATGGTTCATGCGAATTTGCTGTGAAAGTAAATTTCAAACAGAAATTTTAGAATATATAATTTTACTTTTCATAATTCAGGTACAAAACGCTCAAAATGCAAATTTTAGTGCTGTTATTATATATAATTATGATGATACAATAATCACTATGGGTTCATCTAAAAAAAGTAAAAAACAACAAAAGATTACCTAAATTATGTCTGATCCTTTTCTTTACTAATAAAGATATTCGTTTACCATCAACATTGATAACTCTTTCAAGTGGCTTAACATTGATATCGCATTATTTGTATAATAAAACAACAGTAAATTCAACCCCTATGTAAATTTCTTCATTTTTCGTTTTTCTTTCATTTCGAACCATGCTGCTTTTTGTCAATTAGATATCATGTGAATATTATTCCAGAGCAAGCATATCCAATGACTGGTTATTTAATACCGATTGCTTTAGTTGTTATTTTTTCACTTCTTGCTTTTCTTGGTTTTAAAGTAAGATTTTGTTAGATTTTGATTTCAATAATGAAATTTTTTATTTAGTTGGTAAAATTGCATTTACAACGACGTCGTACGCGTCGTCATCGTTTACCAACATCAGCACTCAAGCAATTAAAAATAAAAAAATTTGTTAAAGGCGATCCATGGGAAGTATGTGCAATTTGTTTAGATGATTATGTAGATGGAGCAAAACTACGTATATTACCTTGCGGTCATGGTCTGTAATTTTTCATTTGTAGATTTCTTTTAATTCATTCCATTAATTTCTTTTGTTTTTAGCATATCATATGAAATGTATCGATCCGTGGTTAACAAATAATCGACGGCAGTGTCCGGTGTGCAAACGTTATGTATTTCCCAATCATGATAATTCTGGTGAAGAAAATATTGGCTCTCCACAAGTAAGAACGCCAACCGAACAAACACCTTTGGTACACACTGCTGATAATGATTCAATAACAGAAATATCGAGTAGTCGACCGTTACTATCTGGTAAATTTTTTAAAAATCAAATGAATATAAAGCAATACTACGTCATCTTTATTATAGAACGTCGATTACTCAATCCATCAAGTAGAGGTGTCCGTAATGTTTCTTTTGCATCCGATGAATCATCAGACAATGTTGAAAATTTATCTTCATCACAACGCCCAACATCAGCCAATCAAACAACAACGATTGGACTTGCTTTCGATAGACCGTCATCAAATTCTCGACGATACGGTAGTATAACTGACGATTCTACAGCATCACGTGTTGCTAATTTTTTCGTTGGATCAATCAGTGGTGCAACAGATGCTACAAATATGTCTTCACGTTCAATAGTTGAAGATGTAAGTGATATTGAAGCCACTAATGATGATGGTGAAGCAGAGATACATCCGGCTAGAACTTATTCAGAAGAAAATCCGGCATATGTGAATGATGACGGATCATCAGTGAATTCAAATCATGTCTAGTTGTAAAATTTATCCTTTATCTTTTCAAATGTCTAACAGTATACTTCTTCCATCTAATTTTGCTTCTTCAGTGTTTTTTTGTCTCAAATTATCTTCTATTTTTATAACGAAAACCTTGTGTTTGAAAGGAAATTATGTTTAGATAATTTGTTGCGCTCTTCACTGTTTTTTTTCTATATAATCATATTCCCAATGAAAACAAATTTCGAGAGACGATTCGTTCGTGATAAAATTTGGTGATCTGTTTTTTATACTTCAAAGATATAAAAATAAAAACTAATATATTTAATTTGTTCAACGATATTGAAACCAATTTAATATTGATCACAGAATAAAGTCGAAAATTTCGGCTATTTACAATTTCGACCGACAATATAAAGAAACAAAGATTGATAGCGTGACTTTGTGTATATATGTTTTGTTTTTGTATTAACTCGTCCATGGATAACAATCTAGATTTGTTGACGGCAGCTGTACTTTCATATCAAGGGATATGCATATATATGTTGTTTGTTTTCGTTTCGGACGCATCACTCTCTCTCATTTCATTTATGACTGATTTACGCATTCGTCCGTCTGTGGTGACGTTCTATAAAAGAGGAGTAATTCATTCACTACATTAGATAAATTTGTCGATACCAGGTGAAAATAATTTAGTGCAGAAAAAAAAACAACTTATCGTGACATGGCTGCTAGTTATCAAGAACGTTTTACTAGAAAATTTGGGTTGTCTGTGAACTCGCCAAAAGTTTCTAAAGATTGTTTGTTATCATTATGTTTCTCTTAGTGTGTTGTCACTGTTCGATGTGCCTCTCTTGGGTATATAAAAAAAAAACTAAGGAGATACTGGGACGGTGGCAAACACATGAGAACATTATTTTTTTTATTTTCTCTATTTTAATTATATTTCTACATTGACCTGTGTTAACTACTGTTCTGCTTGTGCCACGCTATGCAAAATGAAAATGAGCGAAGTACAGCAAACAGTTACTAACCTTATTATCAATTCAACTAACACTTCCTATCGATGTTAATGAGACAACTGTTCAGTTATACCTCGCTCGGATGGATGAATGAGCGATGCATAATTAAACAGTCGTCGAATTCTCAAAAGAACCTTCGAAATTGTTTCTCGAAAATAATTCGGATTTCCATTTCACTGTATTTATTACCTCGCTATTGAGATTCAACCAGCGAGTGTAACAAATGACAGTGAACTGGATGTTATCTGAGGATATACATTTTAATTTCATATAATTTCCTATTACATTCTAGTGTCTCGTTGGTCTGTAAAACGAGAATATTCAAATAAAAAGGAAAATTTAATTGAAATAACAATTAAATGAGATCTATATGTCAGCGTTTTTTTTTAGTTAACATGTAAAGAACGTGTTTTCATATTTATTAAGAGCGTTTAAATTTTTTTATTGATGTATCGAATGTGAAATACGTGTATATGAATTGTTGATTATGAATAAATACGAGTTCTCAGCCAATATATCGATTATATATATATTTATAGTATAGAACTTTTACTGATTATGAACAAATTAGATTACAATCACCTAGTTTTTCTATCTGAAATCAAAACATTTCTATGCATCTCTCGTCATGGATGAATTTAATGCGAAAAAAATTAAGTACTAAAATGAAATTTATCGACAAACGTGGAGACATTCTTATTAGTATTTGAGAAAATAGATAGAAATAGAAAATCATGAAATACTATTCGGAACATGTGACATGTCTGACAACAATCGAATAGTTATCTTTGAGAATAACCATTTGTCAATAAATACAATTCGTTGGTTTAGATACAGTAATGGCTGAGCATTTATACAAATTAATAACCACTTCACTGTTGTTTTCAGGATAAAAATGAATATAAATTTGTAAAAAATGAGGAATTATAACAAACAAAAATAAAAAAAATCAATAGTATACATCAAGCGTAGCACCATTATCGTTCATTGAATGAGGTCTATAGTCTCGTGCGAGATGTCGATTAGGATATTGAGCATTTCCCAAATGTTGACCATTGGAAGCTCGCAAAATGAATTCATTTGTATCAAGATATTGTGATTGTGCTACTTGTTTTCTATTCAATTGTTGTTGAGCAGGTATCGGTCGCTTTTGTTGATTTTCTTCTTGCTTTCTCATACCCGGTTTATTATCTGGATAGCTACCATAAAGAGAATTTTGTACAGGTATAGCAGGTATTTGTGTTTCCCTTGATGGACTTGTTTGACGATGAAGTGGTGTTGAATCAATATAATTTTGTGGAGATAAAAGATTTGGTTGAGAACCGGTCATATTAGACGACTGTGCTGTCCAAATGGGATTCATCACAATTGCAGCACCGTTACCTTTCATATGACGATTTTCATAAAAATGATTACGTTGTATATTCGGCTGTGGATCATAATCTAAGCGCATTTCAGAACGAGCTCGGTTTCCATTTTTTATAATATGTTGATTATTATTGTGATTGCTATTATCATTATTATTATTATGATGATGATGATGATTACTGTTATAGGCATCTAAGTCGTTTCGTGACGATGCGTTGGATTGTGAAATACCATTTGATAAAGCATAATTGTTATTTTGAGTAAATAAATTTCTATAGAAGATAGAAGTCGTCAGAGAGAGGGAAAAACTGACAGTAACAATTTCAATACATACTTAGTGACAGCAGTGATTTGCGTTGGTCGAAAACGATACTTGGATGGTTGACTTTGCTGTTGCATATCAAGATGTTCAATATTACCACCATTATCAGTAAATATTGAACTTGTCTCATCTTTGAGAAAATCAAAAGCCAAACTAACAGCTTCCACCTACAAAAATAAAATATTTACCGACGGTTATCAATCGAAACAAACAATCCATCAGGTTTATACCGGATCAACTGTAGCATCACTTCGATGAGAAGTTAAACGTGACTTATCATTATTATTTTCAATAACAACAGCCTTATTCTTACGTTCATCCTTTGTTGTCGGAGTACTCGTTTGTAGATGTTGTGATATTCGACCATTGTCTGGATCAATTGGTGAGTAACCAACAATAGTGGGCTAGAAGAAATTAAATCGAATATACATAGATAGTTAACTTTTCATTTATAATACTAAAAGAAAACTAAAATTCTTTATTCACCTTAAAACTTAAACACAAGCCAAAAGTAGAACGTAATTTATCTGTGAAAATTGCTTTAAAGTTTCTTGATTTATGCATCTCATGTTTAAGACGAACCATGATGAATGATTATGTCACATTAGTCAAACAGAAAGTTTAAAAAGAACTGGTCATTTAGTATTCATCAGACATTTCGACTAAAGAAGAATAGACGCTAATCTTTTGATCAATGAATGATGATATGATCAAAATATTGCTGTTGAATTAAAAATAGAGGATAAGAGAGACAGAGAGAAAGAGGGTTAGAGCATATATGTGCTTGTCCAACAGAAGATAACAAAGACACGGCGATTGCCTAAGATCACAAATATGAAAGGAAGGTAATCGCTTACTAAATTTACTTTTCTTTTTCTATGTACTGACGTCAACAAGGGTTTTTTTCTTTTCTTTTTGTCATATCGCACTTCGCTCAATAAATTTAATGATTTATTGATTGATCAGAAAAGGCAAGATAACCTTGCATGTAGGAAGGTGTATGTACAGAGTTGTCAACGAATAACAATATTTTTTTTGTTACCTGAGTGCTGCGCCACGCTTGAGCTCGCTGAATATGTCCATGAGCAGCATGTATGGTATCGTAATCTTTTGGTGGAAATAGAAGAGGTTGTTGTGAATTGATCTTTTTTTGAAGTTCGTCTGTAATTGATTTGATCGGGTCAATTTTGTTTTCTTCTCGACTATCACTCGTTGCTGACGATAACAAAGATGAAACACCTGTACTATTCTTCTGCGAGTTTCTTGCATTGAAATGATCTATATTCAATAAATTACGGTTCACTAGCAGTTGTTCTAATTGAACTATTTGAAGACGATGACTTTCAACAAGCAGATATGTACGAAGACGAGATAGAAGCTTTTGAGCACTACGAAATGAATCACATCGATACACATGAACAAATGCTGGATAATGTTGACGATTCAATGGTGAGATATAAACAACTCCTAATATTAAACAGCAAGCAAAAAAGCATCTTTTGAAGAATTTGTGTTCAATTTAAAATTGATTAACATACCAACAGTATCTTCGAAAGATATTTTACCTACAGTTGAACCGGCAATCATTGTTGATGGTACAACTGTAGAGAACTTTTGATCATCATTATATATAATTTTAACACCATCTTTTAATATTGTTATAGTTGTTTTAACAAAATCTCGTTTTGTTTTAATATGACGTATAAAATCAATAGCGTCTCGTATCGTTTGATCGTTTAAAAGTAATGCTGCTGCTGTGCAACCACAATAATCAACATGAAATTGTTTTGGTTTTGATAGCTTATTTAGAGCCATAGAACATATCTATAGATGTTAATGAGAAATAATTCTATAACTAAAGAAGAAAATTTGCAATAAATCAACATGTCTGTCGTTTTGTCGTCGGACATTTTTGTTTTTTGACACTTGACACGCTGTTAACTATAACTAGGATATATAAAGTACGGCATGTATATCAAAGTTATCTGATATTTGTTTCAAAACAAATCACTCTAACGAACACCTTACAGAATTTCAGAGTCGTCATCTATATCGTGACTTACGAAAGAGTTATAAAGAAGAAAAAAAAGTGAATATTAAAAATGTCTTTTACGCTAATAATCATAATGATGAAAGCAAGTGCCAAAATAGAAAAACAGAATACCTCCTATGTACATGTGAAAAGAAAACATGACTCCAGTTTGCTTTCTTTCCAGAATTATTAATCAGACACTTGACAGAAAAAAAAAGAAAAAAAAGCCATACGAAGCGAATTCGCTCTCTTATTCTTTCTTCCTTTCTTCTGCTTCGTTTCAGCAAAACAGTACCGCCAGTGTAGGTGTTGTTCGTTGAAAAAACAACATCCTTTAACGTTTCGATTTTTTTTCTTTTTCTACTTCTTGAAAAAGAAGAAAAAAAAATTTATTTCTACCAATACGACATTTGATCACGAACACAAATGACAACTGAATAAAGAAAAAAAACTCGAATCGATTGTATAAAATGCATAATAATGATTGGCAATGGAATTTCAGATTCAATGTTAAATTGTTGAAACAATATTATATATAAAGATACACACATGCCGCTAAGTGCTATAGTACGATGCATGTATGTTTGTAAACCATTGAAGAAACAATAAATAATATGCAGAAAATTTATTGTAATAAGGATAAAGTCTTTGTGAAAATTATTTATTGAAAAATCTTTCTTAAAATGATTTAATTGATAAAAATTTGAAATAAGATAAATAAATGTTGTAAGAAAAAAATGAAACATTAACCATGGATATGAATAAATAAAAACAAAAAGTGCAAAAAGAGAACCAGTTAATATACTATCTACGATAAGAAGAATATATTGAAAATTATTCGTAATATTGACATAGATTAAATCTAATAAAAGATCATTACTTGCTAATAAACTCATATCGATAATATATAATGAAATCCATGAAAAATATGGTTTAATCCGAGGAATTAAAAAGAATTTATGAAAAGCAAATGAAATAAATATAATTATGATATAGATAGTCAATACTATCGATTCGAAAAAGTAAAATATCATCAATGACGTTTATATAAATAAAATAAAAAGAAAGTTAGTTGAAAGTAATCATAGATGTTTGTTATATATAGATGCGCGTTTATGTATACATTTTTATTTGATTATTGTTCATCGCGAGTTTTCTTTTATCAATATTATTTAACCAAAGAGAATCTATCAAAACTTTGATGACAAAATAACTTCGAAAAAAAAAGCCATATTTTCCTTTTTATCATCTAATCTATTCATTGAACGTAGCTATATGAATGTAATTTTACACACGCAATGCAAATGCTTCTTACTTACTTACTTACTTTGTTCACAAACGATTGTCACATTATAATAACTTTATGATAGAGATAGAGATGATGTTAGTTCTTACTTGTTTCGTATATTTTATGATAGGGCAACATTGTTAAATCTATGTCTTATCGAATACTTGATATTGTACGCTATAAGCACATTCATCTTTTTTTCTTCTTTCTTTTATCTTTTATTCATTAAAATCCTGCTTTTATCATTCTTCACAATATACGTATTCTGTCTTCTCTCTTTTTTTTGGTTGCTTCGTTTTATTTATTTATGACTGTTTTTCTTGAACAAAAAGGTCAAATTTGAATACATTAGCACGATAGTACTGTAACAGTTGAATAGATCCTTGCAACTCTGTTACGAGATCATTCGAATTAGCACATATTATTCTAAGATAAATCAATAAAGATGAAGAATTTTCAAATAAAACAAAACTTACGGTCGGCTTTCGTATACTTGTCGAGCCCATCTGCGACAAAGAACATTTAAAACATCGACATCAATACTTCTATAATGACAACATGAAAGTAATTCAGGTACAATACGTTCTATTCTTGCGCGATCAATATGAACGCATTGGCCACAAATAGGAGAACTTCGATTAACTAAAATATTTCTATGTAAAAAACCAACTAATAAAGAATATTGATTGCACTTTTCGTTCATATCAAGATAAATATCATTTAAAATATTAAGATTTCCATCGGTTATAATTACATATACATGATTAACTTGATCAGAATCAGTTTTTAACCAAACTAAATGAGTACGAGGATTTGAAAGAGCAGGCGCAGGAAGATAAGGTGGATGACGAATAGTATGCCAAGTAAGATAAAAATTACTATGATAATATCAAATATATCTAGGATACGAGATAACAAAAAAAAATAAAGACATTCGATTATTACTGTTGTCGATAATGATTTAGCTCATTAATTGATTCTCGTATATCATCACGTGCTCGATGCATCATTTGTTTGTGTGGTCGTTGAGTATATCGTACAGGTTGCCAACGTAGTGTCAATTCTTTTAAAGTACTACCTTAAATATTAATTCAAGAGAAATATTGACTTCAAGAAAATAAGAAGAAAAAAAAACTTAAACACACAATCAACGATACTTGGATGAAGGACTGTATGGAGACGTGGCATATATTTTTCAATAAACCTAAAATTATTTTTACAATAAATTCATATTTTACAGGATTGATTTTATGAATAAAATGGAAAGCAAGGCATTTATCCTAGAAGCTATAATTTAAATGATTAGAATATATGTATCGGAGAATTTATTTACGCAAGTATTTTTATTTCTCATAGCACTGGCTATCATTTGATTTCAAACATAATCGACATACAATGCCACTAATAATATCATTTTCAAGCAAGTCATTGACACGCAGAAAACAGAATTTGCGGCATTTTGTTAAATAAAGTTATTTAAAATAAATTAGTCAATGCAATTATGTGTTAATTAGATAACAAACAGCATTGATATGTACTTTTTTTATCATTCGAGTAAAATAACCATTTTTACTAATATATTATCAAGCACTAATTAGTTTTGCACACTACACGTACTACAGAGAATAATTCCATAATAATAATTCTTGATAAAACGATAAAAGAGTTCATGTTGAATTTGTCGGTTGACAACTAGTTAATTTACAGACTAACTGATTTAAAACAAAAATTTATTCATCCTATTGTAACTCATATTCTTCTTTATCTTTTTGTATCAGTTCATCTTACTTTCGAATATTTATTAAATGAACTGAATTCGATCGAAAAATCTAACTCACCGAATTCATCCTGTGATTGAGTCTACAAATTTTTTCTTGATCCAATCAAAACTATTTTATTTAAACTATTACGAGTATAGTTTAAATGGGTTTGGTGGAAAAGGCAGACAGGGAAAACGTCGAAAAGGCAAACATAAAAGGGGAAAATACAGAAATTGTAAACGCCGAATGAAAAAAGTAGAAAAAGGAGAACGCCGGAAAGGTAAATGTCGAAAATTGAGTTTTTCGATAAATTTAAAAGAAAAAGAAAAATTTATTTTCTAAATTGGCGTGCACATATACGTCGCATCTATGTTCAATACAAGCCCAATACTTTTCAGATGAGGACGTTTTATTGCATGTGAACATATATTGGTTAAACACTAGTAATGGTTTACCTTTATTAGTCGTTAAGAATGATATTTCACTGTCCATTGTCAACGATTGAAGAGAGAATCATTTTTGTTAGTTGTTTTCGCTAGATTGATTTATATATATATATATGGTATATGCTAACAATCAACAAGTATAGACTACAGACGAGGAGGACAACGAATTTAACTTATCTCACTAAAAACAGCCTATACCAACTCAAAAAAGAATTTCGTTATCTATAGACATCTTTTTCATTCTACGTTTTCCTTTTCAAAAATTTTCTACTTTTTACTCTAGCAGCTTTTCTTCGACACTTTTATTAATTGTACTTTTCATTTCGACATTTCCCATTCGACGTTTTCATCTTCTTCAAATACCAATTTTGGCATTTTCCTTCTTTTATTTCGACCTTTTCCTTTTCGGCCTTTTTTTGCAATTCGGTTTAAATCTTAAAATGTTCGACTAGACAAACTCTACTCTATGACCAGTACTGGTAGATAAAAAATATCCTGTAAAATCCATTTTTTTCACTATTATTAAATATAGTTATTGAATTTGAAATAGATCTTATTGGAATTTATTGCATACAGTTTTCATAAATCTTTCCAAAAATAATAAGAAAAACTTGCCATCGATCAACAAAAACTGAATTTCCAGCTAAAATCCCAGTACCAGGTGGACAATGACGTTTAAGAAAATCAATAACTTGCGTTTCAGCATCATATAATGATATTTGACTATGTCGAATTAATTCTATTAATCCTGATTTTGTATGCTGCGTTCTTGACCAGTCATTCATTTTATCAAGTACATCCTGATCATGATGTATAACAATATCTGGCCCTAACATGAAATATACGTTTAATGAAATAGAATAAATTCGTTATTTATCTGTTTTGAAATAAATACAAACCTTCAATATAATTTTTAAGATGAAAATCAGTTATAGCAATCGCTATTTCGACAATCGTATGTATATTTAAATCAAGTCCACTCATTTCCAAATCGATCCATACAAGTAAATTGTGATCACAATCATTGATCATAGCCATAATGACCGAGAAAAACAATCTGCGTAATAGATAATTTTTATTTTCATTATAAATAAAACAAACAAGAAAAAGAGAAGCTTGTAATTGAAAACTATTTTAGGAACAAAAATAACATACAAGAAAAGAATTTTATTATTTAAACTTATCCGATAATTTAAAAAAAGTTAATCTATTTGCGAGTCATATGAGTTTCTTAAATATCATTTTTTTGCTGAGAATATTTTTGTATTTAATCTTGGATTGACATGCATTTCTTGTTCGTCAATAAACAATGAATTTTGTTGAAGAGTTGAATTGTTATTATCAGAATCTAATTGAATTCTTGTGTGTTCACCATCGGATATATCTGGTAATTGATCATCTCCAATCCTTGAATTCGGAAAACGCTAAATGAATTAAAAATAAACAAAATTGAATTCTCAAGTTTGACTTCTTTACCATATGTTTTAATAAACGAGTTTGCTCTTTTTTAGCATCTAGTATTCGCTCCTCTTCACACAATCGTCGAGTTTTAAATTCATTTATATCACGGTCGGCACGAATTTCACGTTCCTTAATATTGAAAATAGTTTCAATAGAAAATAATTAATGAAATAAACACAAAGCACACATACTCGATCTTTACGTAAACGTGTTTCAATGTCATTTTCAGTTTTGACTAACATTCGACTAATATAAGCTCGTTCAGCTTCTCTTTCCTGTTCAAATTGTTCTAGACGACGTTTTAATCTGGTAAAATATAAGAATTTTTTTTGTAAACTAAAAAATCAATCATAAAAGTCTGCTACTTTTCATCAAATCGGTTTATTTCATCGGTTCCATTTGTTGATTGAGAAGAAATCTTTATGAGAAAAAAAATAATTATTTTTTTTGTTGTATGAAAAATAACGATCATAGATACTTTTTGATTATTATTGTTTTTGGCTTGAGAATAAAATTCTTCGACGCGACGATCAAATTTATCGTCTACTTGCAAGTTACTACAAAAATTATACGATAAATTTATGATATTTTTTTTCTTTTTTAAATATACCTTAATTCTTTTTGTTCTTGTTCTGTGCGATTAAATTTATTTATTAAATCATAAATACGTTTTGATCGTATTGCACTTGTATTACTTTCACTGGCATATGTGGATTCTGTTAGTGCTTGCTGTTCAATTTCAGGTTTCCTTTAAACAAAGAAAAAGAATTGTAAATATTAAAGATCTTTCAATGTTTCTTTTTGTGTACACTCTATTAATTTAATAGAAATTCATCAAAAAAAGAAGATTTCATCGGCTTCATATGGCATCATTCAAACAATTTCAAGGAACGATAGTGTAAAATGCAAGTCGCAACTCGTGGAAATAATTTTGCAATCCAAACCCAGTTACAGTGTTTAGACTATTGTCTACTGAAATTGAAATTGTTTACAATTTTGAATGAAGAAAAAAGAACTTTTTTTTGCATTTCATTTTAAAGTCGCCTAAAGCTAAACTCTCGAACACAGTTGCTTCTATATCCAAAACAAATATTTTTTCGAAGTCGAAAATTATTTCAAAAACTAATTTGGATAAAAAACATACAAATTTTTTTCTGTAATTTCAACTGAAAAATTTCTTCGTGATATATTGAGAATCATAAATAATGATATGGGCACCAATAAAAATGTTGTCCTCACTCTTATATATCGAGTGACTTCCGAAATACGCATTGGATAATGAATGATAGGGGGCGATATCTACAATTGTGTTTACGACTTGCTTATACGGACTTCAATTCTGACGTTTAGTTGTAGAGGTTTAACAATTGCAAGCCATTTTTAAGAATTTTAAAAGTAAATACCTTATGTATTATGTGTACGTGTTAATCTAAAAAAACTAGTATTTGATTTGGAAGAATCTTGAAGAGTGAATCTTTAAGTATTCGTTTGAAATGAATATTACATTGAACATAGTTAGTAACTACGCACAGTGTAGCAGGTCTTTTCGAGCACTAAATCAGGTAATATTAATAATATTAAAGACGTTTTCGCCCGAATGGTTGATTTCTTTATAATGTAGTCGGCACTTAACCAAGATATTGTCTCAAAATATAAACGTCTATCTTGCGTGATGCTATTCGAATGACAGCCCCTATCCTAGTGTAAAATTCGAATTTAGCTACCATTTGAAAGTCCGTGATTCTCAAGATGTCTTGAAACAATAGACCCGGTAAGATCTCAAAACCTCAATGAAAAATCAAATACTTCTTAGAATTTTGACATAGAATATTATGCAGTATTAGTCGAACAAAAGAAAACTAGTGAGATCAGAAGACTAATCGTTTTTAAGTGCAATTGATTAGTATGCAAGTTCTAAGTATACATCTAGAGTATTATTACTTACTGGTAGAAAAAATTATTATTTTTTTAAGTATTTATGTGAATGAAAAAGAATTCTTTTTCTTTTCGTAAATTTACCTTATTGATGGAGTTAAATTATTGGTTAATGAAGATAAACTTGTATTTAATGATTCTTTACTTATGTCAAGATCATTTGTCTTACGAAAAGAAAATGTTTTATTAGTTTTCCCTTTTTTTTATAATGATAACTCACCGACTTAGGTCGCTTCATTAATGCAAAAATATTAATCACTGGTTTTGGTAATGTTTTAGGTGGAATCGCTGAATTGATTTGATGACTTTCATTTTGATTCGGTGGAATATCTTCACGAAAGACAACTGGTTTATCTCTAAATAAGTGTCGTGTAATCAAGGATTTTGTTCGACTAGTTGATCGAGTAAAGGTTTTTTTTTGAAGATCTTTTTCAATATTATCAACTTGCTGTTCATTTATTTGCTTTGAATTAAAAATATTTGGATTAGATTGATGTTGTTGGAATACATAGGGAGTTTCTTGATCGTTTTCAATTAAATACGACGATGATTTTGATCGCTGTTGATGATTAGCTTTTCCATTAGAAAATAAATCATTGCTTAAGTAAGGCTGTACTAATGATGAACTCAATAGATTATGCTGATTACGAGTTGTTAAATTTTGCTTAGTAGTTGATAATTGTTCATAACTATTTGTTGTCTGTAAAGCAAGTGTTGAATGGGGATATTGGCATGAGATTAATGAAGAATTTGGTTTTGAATGAAGATCAGTCGAACCATAGTGATTATCCAATGATGAAGTAAGTAAAGCTGAAAGACCATAACGATTAGCTGCATCTTTATATAGCTGTAATCTAACTGAAGGCCCACAGTGTTTAAGTACTTTAGCAGCTCTGAAAAATAGTTTCTTTTAGATCAATTTACAATTTAATTCTTGTTTCCTTACTCTTCTTTCGTTTTATCAAGAAGACTTATGTTATCAACATAAAGGATCTGATCGCCTACGTGAAGACGACCATCGTCTTGTGCTGCACTACCAGGTATAATTCCTTTTATATAAATACCTTGATGTTCTTGAGAATCACTCTGAAAAACAAATATTTGCTATTTTTATTTCGACTGTTTATTTTGTTACTTTCGCAGAAACAATACTTAAACCAAGACTATTTCCTTTTTTGTTTAATATAATTGTTTCTATTTTATCATTGTTCTTACTATTGTCGATCTAAATGCATAACATTGAAACAAGTAAAACATCAGATGTTTTGTTTACTTTTGACAATTGTATAAATTCAATCCATAATCCAAGACTGAATGAATTAGTAAATAAACGACATAATGCTAATCGACTCATGGGTTCAATAAATTCAAATAATTTTTCTGGTATACCGCGTAAATTTTCACATGAATAGCCATCTTCCGGCAAGAAAAATGGTACAGCTAAATCGAGTTCTTCAGCTAATTCAATAGGAGAACCTGCACAGTAAAGATTTTCATCAACATGCTTATAAGCAGCAGAAAGAAGACTAAATAATAATAATAAAAAATATACTCAAAATTGAAGTCTGATTAAGTATAAACAGAAAAATATGACAGAAAGATGATAAATATTTTTGCAATAGCATAGGTAATGATTTATATGATGCGAACGATATGTTCTCTTCGATTTTTTTTCTTCGTCCTCAACTAATTAGACTCGAACAAAAACCAGAATAGGAACAAATAATAAAGAATAATAGATAATATGATGCAGAAATACAAGATCTATACAAATATCGAGATCATTTTACTAAATTTTATCCTTTCAAATCTTTCGTACTACTGCATAAAACTTACGCTTGATAAAAACTGTTCGAAATCGATGGTTCATTTCTACTCAAAATGTAATTATTCAATATTTGTGTTATTTGTATTGAATTAATGTTAAACGTTTGATTCGATAATAACTCCTGTACATCATGTGGATTAGATTTTGGACTTTTAAGTAATAAACAGAGTTGATTCATTTTCATTAAATGACATTCACACGCTAATTCCAAACCTTGACTTTGTGCCCAATCACTAATAGCTTTTAAGTCAACTAATAATTTTTCTCCCGACATACACGAACATAACTTTAATTCTGGATAGCAAACAATGCGATTAAATAACCAGGTGCTTATATAATGAAATATTTTTGAAAATATCTGAATTGTTAATCCAACATTAACACGGCATTTACGTAATAAATTCATCATTGATGAAAGTGTAGTAAGTAAATCATCCAATGTTGTCTGACGATGCTGATTTTTATTTCGATCGAATATTATCCAGCGTGGATCGAATTGTTGTAAAATTGTTGAATCATGCTCTTCTAAAACTGTGGAACTACGTATTGATGTTGTTGTATGAATATCATGTTCACCATCATTTCGTGAATTAATAAATGCCATTAAATACTTATCTAACTCATTTTGTAAACAATTTATTAAATAATCAAATAAACGGCGAATAGATTCAGTTAAGCGAACTTGTATATCATGAGAAATTTTTGATAAATCTCGATCATGTTTTAGAAAATAAAGCAATTCAGACGTATTTGATAGCCAATAAGCAAGATACCCACTATGCTGTTGACATTCCTTTGTAGAAAAAAAGATACGTAAGTTATTCGCTGAATTTACAAGGAGAAAATATCTTTACTTCAAGTTTTTTATTTATCATATGTTCAATATGATGCAGTAAAGAAATAACATTTTCTTGTTTCTGTAAAAATGTTACGTTTATTTTTCCATAGGGTGAAAGACGATGTCTTAGTGTCATATACAGTGTGTAAATAGGTGATAGACGAAAATGAATATTTTCTAATGGATAATTATCAAAAACAGCATGTAGAAATCGAGTTTCAGCTAAAAAATAATAAAATAATTTTATTCAAAAGAAAGAATGAAAAAGATACAAAGCATTCTAGAATGACTGGTTAATTTCAGCAAACAATCGATTATATCTTTTTAATAAAGTCAGATTAATTTTCTCATGAGTAGAGTTTCCTATTATGGTAGTAAACTTCGAGTGTTTTTTAACAATTGAAAGTTTGAATAACAAATATTCAATGATAATCAACTAGTTATTTTTATAAAGTCACACAATTTGACAAGGCTACAAACTGTAAAATATATAAGCAGAGATAGAATGCTTGACGACAACACGAACGATAGTAAACGTTTCCACGGCATAGCATGATTATTATTAATGACATTTGAGATTTTGTTCGGAAACTAAACCGTGATGATAGAATTATTAATTAGTCTGCAATAACGAGTTTGTATGCAGAAATACTGTTCGTTGTTTTAATCAGTTTGAAAAAATTTGTTGAGAGAAATCAGAATTATTAATTCTTGATCAAACAAAAAGAAAATAACGAATAGTCGATATTTTGAATATCTTCGGCATTAGAAAAATTGAAAATTTCTTTGTTAAAAGATTTTAAGATAGGATCAAATTTTTTGCTTTATTCTGTGAAAAACATATCGATCTTTCTTGCATTATGAACAATGGCGAAAAGAGTAATTCTCTTGATGTAAATATATAGACGTGTTTGTGAATTTTAATTGACTTGCTATTTTCTTATGCATCGCTGTCTTGATTATTCGCTTCTGTTGTTGCTGGTAATCAGTACTTATCGGCGTAGTCTGTAACTATTTACTAGGTTTATGTGTTAATGTCATCTGAGCTGTTTTTCATCTGTTGAAAAATACTCGAAATAAACCGACGAGAAATCAATTCTTATTGGAAACATATCGATGGGAGAAAAAAATCTTGATTATCTCTATCACATAGGTCGAAGAATTCCCTGAAGAAAGTAGCAAAAATAGAAGTCAACATGATTATTTGTATTTTATTTTGATATAAATTCTTCAACATTCGACTAGATTTATTGTTCACTATAATAAATCGGAAGTCCACATGGAAATCTTTGTTTCATGTATTTCATAACCCTGATTGTTTGTATGACTTTGCTTTAGTAGCTGAATATAGATATATAATCAAAATTTTCTCTCAGAGAAGAAGGTGACATGTCTTATATATATTCATATATGTTTATATGCTTATTTTGAAAACAATATTTATACTTTTAAAACAATATTTCTTTGCTTAATATTGAAAGGAATATTATAATCAAAATGAAATCTATCATTTTTCATATAACATAAAAATCTTGAAAAAAGAAGACCTCCCTATTTTGGTTGAAATTCATATATAAACAAGGATATCAATTGATTCAAAATCGAATCTTTTCTTTCAATTGATCGCAACAATCAATAAAAGAATTAATCTACGTTTTGATTATGAAAAGTCATGTCTGCACTTCAAAGCGCTACATTAATTAATACATAACATGATCAAAATCTTATGACCATTGCATAATATGCCTTTGCTGATTCAATATTTCACTATGAAAGCGTTTCATTCTAGAGAGAGAAATTTAAAATTTTTTGAAACGAATCAAACTATATTCAAAGATTACAAATAGAAAAATTATTTCATATTATTCTTACTAGCTACGTCGATCTCACATTAAATTTAGTTGAATAGAATCTTACTTTCAGAAAAAACTTCTAATAATCCCGGTAGTACATCGATTTTTGATCTAAAAGACTTTCAACATAGAATTTAAGAAAAAAAAGAATGATTAATTCTATACCCTTTTTCAACAACATTAATTGTTGATGTCTTTTTTGGTCGAATATTTGATGCTCCTGGCGGAAAATCATTCGCTTTATCACCGCCATTCATCGTTAATATTGGTAAAGAACCGTATGGAGCTGATCTATCTGCATTCTCTTGTTTTATTGGTCTTGATATTAATTTTGATTTTTGAATAACTTGTGGATCATAAAAACAAAATTTTGTATTTCTTCCAAAACGAATTACGGCTCCATGTCTAAGAACAAATGTAGTTGTAACACGTTTCCCATTTAACCATATTTCACCACGAGGAATTAGTGTGACAATATCATTTTGATTTTGTATTGTACAATGATCACGATCAATACCAGTACCATCAATCTATAATAAAGTGTTTTTTTTCTTTTGAAATAGTTTACGATTAGTGTTTGTATTTACATAAAAATATTGCTTTCCAATCGCTGATTTTGGATCGCGACCAACATATGTTGTATCTCGATAAAGTTTGAATACACGAGGTGATTCAAGATCAGTACCATCTTAATGATAAGTTCAATTAAGATTTCTTTTAAAATAGGTAAACTAATTTTACCTTGATTAATTTCGAAAAACATACAAAGTTGATCATGAATAGTTCGATCTTGTATTGATAGAATTTTACTTCTATTTGAAGTTGTTTCTTGCTTTAAAAGTTGGATATATTCCGGTGGACATTTTATTACTTTAAATATAATCGATCCTATTTCAATATGAAGTTTTTAATGGATTTTTAGCTTTTATTTTATTAATAATTTTTCACCTTGGCATCTTCCTGAATGATTTAAACAAATATTTAATGGACATTCTTTATCGAGTAATATTATTTCTTTAATAGCTTTATTATCCATTTGATAACGTGGAGGAATGACAATCTTGAATAAATTAAAAAAGATTCATCAATAAAATTCACATAGGTAAGTTTACTTGAATTAAACAATATTTTTTTGGATCCTCATGTTTCAATCCGTATTTGTCAAGCATTTTTTTAACAACCCAAGATGCTGTATCTTTTTTCGATAGAAGTAATGTTTTAGACGGTATAGAAGGATTTATTGCATCACCAAATACTTTTATTGTTGCGACTGAAAATAAATTTATTTTAGTACTAATAAATTTTAATGATGACATCATACCTTCTTCTTTAGGCATGATCTTAAAAAAATTTAGTTTTAATCGATCTTGTTGGAGTGTTTTAACCATTTTTGGATGTGACAATAAACGAATGATTTATTTGTTTCAGGTAATAATTCAACAATCGTTATTGCTGTTATAATCGATGATTGAGTATCACTTTCATCGATTCCATTTACCTACGAATGAAAATAAGATTTTTTTCTTTCGTTCTTAAAAAGAAAATTTTCGAATATTCGATCATATTAAATAAGATTTAAGCATATATTATATTTAAAGAAGGAGGAAAAATAATTCACAAATGATTGCTCAACATATTACTTTGACAAAGTAAAATCTATATAATATAAATTATGATAGAATATTTTTTGTGAAAGCAAATATTCCCCAATGATAATCAAGTTTTAGACTTTTAAAATAGATTAAAATATACCACAAAGGATGCATGTAGCTTGGTGTAATAGATTTCCCTTGTGAAATCAAAGTCTGAAGTTTTCTTCAAAATATTCGACGGATTGAGATATTTTGTTGAACCAAACAACTTCTCAAGTTTAATTATTCTGAATTACCCAGCAATTGAATGATTAGTATCGATAGAAATCAATAATAGTGCTTCAAAATGAGAACCGAATCAATTCAATAAAGAAAGCAATAAGTTAACACGAAAAATAAGGCAGTATTAATATTTCTCATTGTTCATAAAATGTGGTCGAGAATGTTTGTTGCCAGGATAAGAAAAAAAATAGCAACACGCATGTGTAGGTTGTTTTTTCGTTATTATTCTTAATTGAACAAATTAAGAAAGGAATAAATGTTTTAGTTTACTTCCTGTTGCTTTTTCTTTCTGATAATCATTGTTCATGAAAACTATTATCGATTTTCTTTACTAATATTATATTTAAGCAAAACAAATTGTCTTGTACGATGATCTTTTCTTCAAATAGAATTGAATCCATAATAGTTTTTAATTTGTTTGTGACTTCGTTTTTTCGTTTATACATAAAATAAACAACAAATATTGAAGTAAGATCAAATAATTTGAAGCGAAATTCGTTCTAATCTCCATTAATATGAATTTCATAGACATAAAAATGCTTGTCAGTTAGTTATACTAGTTTCAATGTCATAGTTCAATAGAAAATCGAAATTATAACGATCTTTGTAACTTCACTGGCTACTACTAGATATTTTTCTAGTACTTCATTAAATCTATCATTAAAATAGGAGCGTATAACACTATAAAATTTAAAACATTTGTTTCATTCATTGAATTTCAATCAATCGAGCAGAGTTACATTCCATTTCTAAGATAAAAACTTCTATGCGGTTTTTTGGTTTTGATAACACATTCATACGCGTGGCATATTTTGTGGTCAAGTCATAATAGTAGAAAAAGAACAAGAATGAGGTTTTATTATATTCAACGATAAGATCAGGTTCATTCAATTAAACAATGACCAAAATTATGGATGACGATTACGAGTATGATTCAATTGATCGAATCCGACAAGAAAACAAGAGGTCGCTTTTCGCGGTTTTTTATATTAACCCAGTCTGATATTTAAAATGTTAATATAACTACGTAAACATACGAGAACTTCTACATATTATCGAAAAATATTTAAAATCGATATAAAACATTTTTTGCCATTGGTTTGATAGTAGGAACAAAAGATTATATGTATAGTAATATCGTTAGGCTTATTATTGAATGTTTAACGATTGGAATACATTTTGAAATAAAACGTCATTCATTTTCTTTTGTCTTGTCAATGTTTAAAAAGAAAAAAAATACTCATAGATCTATGTGTATAACAATCATCACGTTCCTCTATGCTAAGAACGTGCAATAGATTACGATAAAAACCTAAACGAGGGATATATATGTATAAATGTGCATTACACGAAAATTATGCCAGTGTTTAATTGTTTGATATGGTAACATTGAAGCTGGTGTTACCTATTGCAAAAATATTTCACTTGCCGATATTGTATCATGTCAGACGATAGAACACTAGCTTGTATGTTCGCTTCGAAACACTTTCCAAAGGAATGCCTGTTACACGAAGTTACATATTTATTAATGTTTAGATTTAGTCAAATACCGTTAAGTTTCAATAATGTCATCATCCAATAAAAAATTTACTGTGAGTGTATTATTTAAGTTTTCGAATTTATTCAAAACTATTTTCTTTTCTTAAGATTGCTGTTGAAGGAAATATTGGTTCAGGGTAAGATCAATTGTCTAGTGATGTGTTTTTCTAAAAAATAAGATTTGTTTTATCTTTTAGAAAGAGTAGTGTACTTGCTCACCTAGCTAACTCTTCGTTATGTGATGTAATAATTCATTAGTAACTTTAATTATAAAATGATTCCATTCTAATATTTTAGATTATTGCTGAACCCTTGGATAATTGGACGAATTTGAAAGGACATAATATTCTAGTAAACGAAAAGTTTTGAAAGTAAAATTTTATGAATTATATTTATCTAGGCAATGCTTTATGAAGATCCAAAACGATGGGGTTTTGCCTTTCAAGCTAATGCACAAATGACATTAGCAAAATTACATGCACAAACGACGAAAGCACCTGTCAAAGTCATGGAACGATCAATCTATAGTGCTCGATATTGTTTTGTGGAAAATTTATATCGAAGGTAGAATTGTGTTGTCAATAACAAAATGCTACTTTTGCTTTCTATTTCTTTTATCAAGCAAAATTCTTCAAGGTGTTGAATATGAAATTTTGAATGATTGGTTTCAAATGCTTATTTCGAATGGTTCATGTCATCTTGATCTTATCCGTAACTATTTTGTCTTTGAATTAATTGTTTCAGAAAGCCTATTTTTCAAATGTTAATAGTTTATCTACGAGCTACGCCCGAAACATGTCTTCAGCGAATTCAAACACGTAATCGATCGGAAGAAGAATCTATCAGTCTTGATTATTTACAAACATTACATGAATGTCATGAAGAATGGCTTATAAATCGAAATAGTACAAATTTATCAATCCCTATTCTTATTGTCGATGCCAATCAAACCAAAGAGCGTGTTTACAATGATACTCATACTCATGTTGAAAATCTTGTTTCATATTAAATTTATGTAGTTTCTTTTCGAATAATGTGTGCTTGAAAATAATAGCTGTTCACTTATGTAATTATAATAGAAATAATGATTAAAAAAATTGAACAAAAAAAAGAATTTTGTTTGCTTCTTTTCCTCTTTGACTATTTCGTTAAATAGTATTTGGTTATTGATCTTCCACTGAAAACATAACGATGAAAACAAATACGCGTTGTATTTTGTATCTATTATTTTGATAAAATCAAATAGTAGAAATAGGATAATAAACAAAGAGAAAATTAGAGTTATGAAAATATCACGGTTGTTCATTTAATAAAATATTTGACTTAGGTATATTCTAAGCAAGCCGCGATGGTAGCATTGACTAATTACGTTAGTAGTGTGATCGAAATATTTTTTCAGAAATTGGCTGTTTTGTAAAAGGATAGTTGCGATATTGGTAAGCAAAAATGATGTCTGACAACTCAGTTGAAGAAAGTATACATTTTTCAAGATTATATGTTTGTTTCTGTTTTAAAGCACTGCCTATTTACAATAAACTGTGCGAATTCGAATTACGTATATGATCAAGTTTCGGTAAGATCTCACGAATCATACTTCAACAACATTCCTGTAAGAAACTATCGGATGTCCTCGTGCTCACACACGACCCATCTAAATGCAACATTTATAACCCCTAAAACTTTTCTACACACGATTTTCATTAGATCTACTGAATTTCCATTGGATGTCAGGTAATCCGATGCCAAATCAATAAAAGATTCTCTTATGTGGATTTTTCACCTATGCCATTGATGTATTCATATCATCTAATAAATAGAAAATGATAAGATCGACTTTACAAAGCCATTTAACAAATCAAACGAACGAATATATACACAAGTTACCGTTCAACCACATACGTGAGCTCTTGATTAGAAAAGGTTGATCTGCATGATTTGTCATCAGGAGGCTTCAATTGTATCCAATTCGTAGTGGATTATGATAGGATGGGATCAGCTTCCCATCAACGATCAATTAGCAACTAACTCGCTATCAGAATTTTGATGTTTTTGAATTCAATGATACCAATACAAAAAGAATCGACATAAAACTGATCTCAGTAAGTTACCAAAATTCAAGCTTACACACAATCCTTGCGTGCTTTATCTTATATTTCATTATCATCGTCATCATTCTGATTTTTCGAAGAAATATTTATGGCAACATATCGATTGAATCGACCATACCATCTGATTTTTCAAAAGACATTGCACCAAAAAAGAAATCGGTGATACGTCTTCATCAAGTTCTTAAAATGCTTAAAAAAACAATAACCTTGTCGATGTTTTCAGTGAAATCAATGCAAACGTAAACCAAAAATTGTTTTGATGACAATGTACTTTCAACTTTACAAAATTCAAATGAGTTGGCGATGATTTTGATGAATCTTCACTTAGAAATTCTTCAAACCACAAATTAAAATAGATGAATTTTTTAGTTAACTTGACGAAAGTCAAGTCTCAATTTCTCGAAATATAATTTGAACTGAGAATTAATCTATACTATATTTGTATCCAAAACGACCTCGGTGCAAAACAACATGAATAAATTTGTCATAGTTTAAGCAATTTTCATGTAGTTTTTAAGTGAAACAGTATGCTTCAAACATTGTCTCTTATAAGTCAATTCATCTTTTCAAAATATTTGAAAAAAAGATGAAATTTTTAAAAAGTATTGCGACTATCCATTAGAATAGATATGTACACGCTCCTCGTGAAAATTCAATTTTGTTCTTTATTTATGAATTAATAATTTGAAGACAATGTAGTGTTTGTAACAAAAATTATTTCTTAGCTGGTTTTGTTCGCCAAGATGTGCATAAACATTTTTAATCGATTTACTTCGATCTTGTGAATATTCTTCCTGAAGTTACTGAACAGTTATAACTTTCAACAGATTTTTTCAGAAATTCATCAAAATAACAAATGTTAGCAGTTTTTTGACTGATATCGGAAGATTTGAATTTTCGTTTTCGATAAAAAGAAAACCATTCAAAATTTTCCAGGATTTATTTTGGAAAAACAAAACGAGAGTGTAGGTGAATATGCTCTTAACAACAACAATGCCTGGATTATCTTTCTAAAATTTGATGATGGCCTTGTCACCCGCCATGGGAGTCTCCACACCCTTCACTCTCTCGAAAAACTTACACATGGAAAAGCATATGTAACGCAAGCTTTTACTTATTACAGTAGATCTTTTTTCGACACAAAAATGTGCACATTATTCTATTTTGTTATATCCTTGGCAACTATACATTTTCATCATTTACTTGTTGATTCTCTATTGAAAACTACCAATAAGCAGTCGATGAAAGAAAAACAATACATTTATGGAATTTTTTTCTCTTCTCCTATTTTTCTCTTTCTTTTCATAAGAAAAGAATCGAAAATTCTACAATATTTAGCAACACATAGTAAACGCTGCACAGTCGAAGTATAAAGTGTATGATTACTGACCTTCTAAATTATTTAATGATCAATTGGATCTGCTTTTAAGTAAAGTATGGGTCACACACTGACTAAACAAGATGTGGTGGTTAATACGGATATTGAAGCATTTCCTATAGTTTGGCTTGATAGCCAAGTAAACAAAAATCATAACAATCTAGCTGCTCAAAAACAATTGCGTAAATTGGATAAAAATCTTAAGACATTTGACGATGAAGAGGAATGTCACAAATATATTGTGTCAACGTTGGCAGACGATCGAATTGTGTTTATTGTTAGTGGTCAACTAGGACAGACAATAGTACCGAAAATTCATCAACTTCCACAGATTATATTAATCTGTGTGTATTGTATGAATGCGGCACTAAATGAAGTTTGGGCAAGACCATTTGACAAGGTAAAAAGGAAGCATAAAATACTCTTTATCTGTATTTACGCAGCTATTTTAAATTGAAATCACTTATTCAATTCTTTCTAGGTTAAAACTGTTGCCGAAAAATTTGCTGACATTATTACATGTATCGAATCAGTCCAACAGAATATTACATTGGGAGCAGCTACATCTACGAATAGTAATATCAATGTTTACACTCATTATTGTACGGCAATAGATGATCCTTTTGACAATCCTCTTTCCTTTCTCGAATGTTTCCTTCGCATAGAATCAAACCAGTCAGACATCACTGAGTGTATTGCATATTGTCGAAATAAATATAACCAAAATCAGCACGAACTTGATTTAATTCAAGAGTTCCAGCAGTCGTATACATCAGAACGTGCAATATGGTGGTATACAAGACAATCTTTCGTATTCAGGATATTGAGCGACATTCTTCGAAAAGAAAAGACTTATTTAATCTATAAGTTTCGTTTCTTACTTCATGATATTTATCAACAATTGAAGCAGTGTCAATGCCAGTCGCGCATACAAGTTTATCGAGGACAATTGCTACCCGACCAGGATATCACTTATTTCAAAACATTAATTGGCAAGATTATTACCGTCAAGTCATTTTTTACGACATGGTCAAATCGAAAGCATGCTCGATCTGGTTTGAAACCTTCGACAAGCAATTCGAAACAGGTTCTATTTGAAATCGATGCTATTCCTGGAGCAGCCAATTGTAAACCGTATGGTGATATTAGCTTGCATAACTCTTTTCCTAAACCAGGAGAAGTATTATTTATGGCTGCGTCTAACTTTCGCATTGACACTGTACATTATGGTGAAGATCACATGTGGATTGTTCGAATGACATTAGTAGATAATGATTCACCTAATTGGAAAGATTTCTCACAACGAATTGATATCATGGAAAAAAATGTTGGTGGACTTAATCTTGCATCATTTGGTACAATAATGCGTTGCATGGGTCATGTCAGTAGAGCCAAAAGCTATTGTTCTTGCTTATTCGATCAACTTTCTTTATCGAATCCATTAACAGCTGTTGTCTGCTTTGAACTAGCTGAAATAGCCTTAAGTGAAGGTGATTCAGATGCCAATAAAAGTTGGTATAGAAAAGGAACTCACATCAAAAGAAAATATAGTGTACATGGTGATCTGAATTATGAATCGAAATCGAAAGGTGATAAAATTTCTTTGATACGCTTAATAGTTTTCGAGAAAATTTCGTTATCTATATGCTATTATTTGTACGTAAATATAGGAAATCCTATAATTTTGTCTTCAATAGAATTTTTCTACAGAATTGCTTTGAATATTCATAGCCAAGTTCATGATACGGAATAGTTATATGAAAGAATTCTATAGAATAACTTGAGAACAAAATCTAATTACGATTTTTCTAGTCTAAATGAGCAACTTTAAATGTAGTAAGAATGTGACGACAGCTGAAGCTAATTTTTAAAGAAAGAAATTTAATCTACTTCATTCATTCATTCATTCAATGTAACGAAGAAAACAAAAACGAACTGAATGTAACATATCTGTTCAATCTATTAAAGTTTAGTAAATTCTGTCTTTCTTATAAATTTATCTACTAACTCTCGATTAGTTTGAAAATAATCCGACTCATAAGAAAGTATGCTGAATTAGAAATAAAATATTTACTTTTTATGTTTTCACTCCATTATGATTTAGTATAGCATACAGAGGTTACTCCATGCATTGTTCTATGCAGTACGCATCTACTAGAGAGAAATATACGCTGCTCAGAGAAAATGAAATTAGAAATGATTCATTCGTCATTACTAGAATATTACATTACATTTTTTGACAGTTTAAATTGGATATAGAGAAATTCCGTTTTATTACCAGGCTCTACTTTATCCCGATCTGTCGACAGTAGCTTTATTGCGACACTTCAAAATTCAAGCGAAGATCTTGATAGCACCATCAACGAAGCGATGGCCAGTCAACGTTTTACCAGTGTTCAATTGGACAAACATCAAGTTCGTTTTTCCATTGAAGGCTACGAAAAGGTGCCTCTTGTTTCACTCGAAGAAGCAATGGTACCGCTACTTGGTGTTCTTCCGGACATACAACAAATGGTGTGTATTGCCAAAATGAAATGTGAACTGCCAACTGATGGTCTAACATCAGATCAATCGGCTGCAATCATGCTGTATACGATGGAATGGGAGCCATCTGAAACATGTCTCTATTTCGTATTGAATTCAGCCTTGCGTACGGCCGATCGAGAAGTAGTGAAACCCTGGTTTCTCTATTTAAAACTGATTTTTACCGCTTTATCACGTCTACCATCAAAATCAGGAACTTTTTTTCGTGGTGTGAAACTCAATTTAAGTTCACAACATCCTCAAGGCGAAACATTCTATTGGTGGAGTTTTTCGTCGTGCACAACAACAATCAATGTTTTAACATCGGATCAATTTCTAGGTAGTTCAGATATACGTACTCTCTTTGCTATTGAAAGTACGAGTGGTCGAGATATTAGCCGACATTCTTACTATCAAAACGAAAAGGAAATCTTACTATTGCCCGCGACTCGATTTCAAGTAGTTGGGCATCTACCATTTACATCAAATGTTCACATTATACAATTAAAAGAAATCGAATCTGAATTTCCACTTCTGAACCCTATTTTGTAAACCATTGACTTTAAAGTGTTCATTATTTGAGTACATGTGTTTTTAGTGTGCCACTTGGCTTGATAATAAATGTCACAAAATTTCTGTTTAAATTGAACTTACAGTGAAAATATACAATAAACTTAGGAAACAACTGTACTCAGTGGAAAAATTTGCATTGAGCTACATTTCGATGAACTTATTCTAGTATTAGTTATTTTCTTCTTCAAATGTTTTACAAGTTGATAATTCAAATTTACTAGGTTATTTTGTTATATGGCTATTGAAACTTAGTTATATAGGAAGAAATAAGATTGAACTAGAAAATATTTTAAACATTCTACAAATAAAAGTTTCACATAAGAAAAACTTCGAGAAAATTCAAAGAGTCAACTCTATTTAGCAATGAGCTACTTTTTGAAAAAATATCAAATATATTTTCAAATGTAATGTATAATATTAAAGCTGTCTCGACTTTTCATTCGGACCAAACAAGCTTGAAAAGAGCTGATGCGAAAACTGACCGACGATTATTATAAGATGTGCACATAAGAATTTTGACTTGACACGATTTTATTTTTAATATACCTAATTTTATTATATTAGTTATGGAATAAGGCACGTCTGTCAGCAGGTAGTGTCTTCGATAAGTTCGTCTGTTGTATTTTTATTCATTTATTTCGAAAATTCTTTTGTCAATTATTGCTTTATGAAACATGAACATATTATAAATTGCAAGTGTTGATGTTAACCATCGACTTAAGAACTATAATCATGAAGATACTATTTAAGTATTTCTCTAATCATTCTTAGCACAAATAAAGAATGTTGGATTATTTTTTCTTCATTAATAGTTTGCTACAGGCTTCATGTTAAGTTTTAGTTGAAATATGTTTTTAATGCATAGAAGCATTAAACTCTTGGGAAACTCATCTACGTGAAAGCGATTCAGACCATCATTACTTTACTCATCTAGATAATTTCTCAATAACATATTTACAGCGTAAACTGAAGTAGTGCTGCCAAAAAAAATGTTTATGCCAATCTTCAAACTTTTGCATAATTTTATCGAAACAATTTTGAGCAATAAAAGATTTTCAGCGCGTATAAATTTTGATAAATATATGATTTCTTCTGAATCTATCAAAACTTAGACTTAAAATGAAGTATGACAATGGAATCTAAATATTATCTCAAGAAAATCACTACTGCCATGCTAGGTTTTAATGATGATGTGTAACAAGTAGAAAATAAGTTATTAACAGAACTTTGATTTCTATCAGTTAGAACAAGTAGCTAACGTTCATCGACATCGAAATTCGATTCACTGGACCCTAGACTGACAGTGCTGAGGAGAACAAATGCATGGACAGGACAGAAAATCGGTTGTTCGTGCCAGCAGCTGATGATGATATTTTCAAACAGACGTGTGCAGGGGGTGGGAATAAGTGAAACTGAGGTAAGAATTAGACGAAAATTAAAGGCCTCAAGTAAAAGCATTGAAAATGAAGATAAAAGACGGACAAAACGGGACTCAAGGGTTCTTAAGGAGGGTAGAGCCTGACTCTTACCTACCCACAAAAAGATATGGTTCCGAAATTTCATGATGGTTAGCTCAAAGTTCCGTAGGGAATCAGCTCGCCCCTCCACTGATCCCATCTACAGAGCGGACTGTTTCACGTGGCCATGTCATGCACCCACCTATGGTTTGTGCTGTAACAATGCCCTTTCTGCCATAAAAATGGTGATTTGTACGACGGAGATGGTCATTTGGACCACGGAAATGGTCGTTTGCGCCATTGTTACAGGCAGACAGACACAGGTGAATTACGACTTCTAGACCCTATCCTTTCAGTTTAGGGAATTAGCTCAGTGACGTATTGAAAATTTTTTCTCAAAAGAATTAAAATAAGAACATATTCTGGTTTTACATCTGTGGTATCACTCTTCTTTACGAGTGATGTCAATAATTATTAGTCATGATCCAAGTTTTTTTTGTTTTCTACTAAGCATTGGTAGAATCAAGCTGAATATGTCTCGATCTCTTCACGCTACATAAAGTTCTGAAACAAAAATTATTTAACTATAATTTAAAGGTTACCTTTACAACTGTGATAATGGTAATACTTTTATATTATCAATTTACTGATCATTTTATTTTTTCACATTCAATAGTTATCCAGATGTAAAATTATCAGATAGCGTTATAACTGAGAGTTATCCGATCCTAACATAGTTATAGATACTTGAATTAAGATTGAAACTTTTTGCAACCTCACTCGGATGAGATCCAACAAAGCATTGGAAACAAGTTTAAATAGCGTTGATACTCATTCCTTTCATTACAATATTTTTTTATGCTATCGAACCACTGCACAAAACTAGAGGTTTGAATAAAATAAGAACGTGGAGGAAGAAAAAGTTTATATACGAAACATTTGACTTCTAAAATTGATTAGTGAATCATTTAGTTTCTGTGCACTAATAATAACTATCGACGTAGCAGACCATTACATTCCGATATTTGCATTAGCAAAATTAATGAACAATTATGGTATTTGTTTTTATTATCGAAAAAAATGGTTATCTAAATTTAATTATTGTACTTGCGATGTTTCCTTTTAACATATACTGTTTAATATCAATAATCAAAATTTAAGTAAAAATGAATTCTGACACTTTTCAATCGGTGCCGCAACAATATCGAGACCATTTTACAATACATTTTAACTAAGATATATCCTGCTAATACCGACAATATATCTACACTGCGCAAGTATTCAACAAACTCTCTACACGACATTATACGTGAATTATAATACTAATTATCTTCTCAAGTTTCGTTCGAATTGATAGAATGGCAAGTTCGATAAGATAGCAGATGAGCCAATTATTATATTTGTCATTCTTCGCCGCCAGAGAAATTCTGGATACTGTGATAAGAGAAAAGTATTTTTGAAATATCTTTATTTTTGAATTGATATTTAACAACGATGATTGATGCGGAAAACACAATTGTTTTAATTTTCCCAGTAGTCAAATTAATGAATAGATTATCTTATCCATAGTTATCACTAAAATTATTTCGATCATTTTTATTAATCTTATACTAAATTGATAAACCAATAAAACCAGTTTTATTGATCCCATGGGACTTTAATAATCGTTCATAGATAAAGGAATCACTTGTTTTTTCTATTCGATTTTAAGTTTAAGCAGTGATTTGTCAAATTTAATCAATATACTATGTAGTTAAAGTCGCCATTTTGTTACATTTGTTTTCAGCAGCTTATTGATGAAACTCTAGCAACAAATCATCACAAGAAAACACCATTATCTCTAAGTAAAATGAAGTCATATTTTCAACATTTTCCAAAACAGCAACAATATATTGCTAAAAATGTTTCAAAGAACTAGTTTCTCTATAATAAAATCCTACTTATTGTGAATGTTCTTTCTTTTATTCACATAAACATATTATTTACTTTTTTATTCTTTTATTTTTCAGTGTTGTATACATATGGACTTGGTCCCAGGCTTTTTTTTTTATAAATGTTGGTACCCTCGTCTAAAATAAGCTTTTTTTTAAAATTTCTTACATATGCAGAACACAATATCAATATTGAGAAGACATTTATTGACTCGCATTATCACGAAAAAAATTTAGATAAATATAACTGTAGTATAGACCTGTTGTCAATACTATTTGCTCTCATCTGATTAATACACAGAAGTCTATACAATGCATCGGCAACTATTGCTTCCTATTCTATGTCTAGTTTTATTCGGAATCAGTTTTAGTTGGGCAGCTAATTGGGCAGTGCTTGTAGCTGGTTCTCGTGATTGGGTAAACTATCGTCATCAAGCTGATGTATGTCATGCTTATCAAATCCTACATAAAAATGGTATTCCTGATTCGAATATTGTTGTCATGATGTACGATGATTTAGCTCATCATTGGCGGTGAGTACAATACTTATGTACACCGTGCTTATATTCTATTTATTTCTTTTCAATACCAGAAATCCAACAAAAGGTATCATTATTAATCATCCCAAAGGAAATGATGTTTACCATGGAGTACCTCATGACTACACTGGCAAAGTAAAATGAATTCATTGTCAATTGATTTAGCCATATTTTAGAATAGGATGTGACACCAGAGAATTTTATGAATGTTTTGCTCGGTAATCAGGAAGCACTGCGCAATATTGGTAGTGGAAAAGTGTTGAAAAGGTAAAAAGCAATCATAATTTGTTACAACTGCTTTTAAATATTAGTTCATATATAGTGGTCCCGATGATAATGTTTTTATCTATTACACTGATCATGGTGCTGTGGGTACGCTATTGTATTTTTATTCAGTTCTTAACATAGAATTTTCTTTTTAAATAGGTTTAGTTGCTTTCCCATCTGGCGTAGTATGTTTATGTTCAAAACTTATTTCTCAAACACTATACCTTTTCTCTTAGCTCTATGCAAAAGATTTAAATCAAACTATTAACACCATGTATAATCAAAAGAAATATAAGCAAGTTAGTGTGTTGTGTTTGTTAAAAAAGAAAATAATTAAAATACATATATTCCCGATAGTTAGTTATTTATATCGAAGCTTGCGAATCCGGTTCAATGCTAGAAGATATTCTATCAGATAAAATAAATGTATATGGAACAACAGCATCAAATGCTCAAGAATCATCATATGCATGCTATCATGATGTACTACGTGGTACATATTTAGGTGATGTTTACTCGGTCGTTTGGATGGAAGATTCTGATGCTGAAATGATTGATAAAGAGACATTATATCAACAATATTTAATAACACAAAGTAAAACAAACGCAAGTCATGTCATGCAATATGGAGATCTTGTGAGGAAGAAGGATTCTTTCTACCTATCAAAAATATTTTCTCTTAGAATCTAGCCAAATCTCATAATGTAAGTGAGTTTCAAGGTGTAGAAAAATCAAATGTCTCCAAGTACAATAATTTTATTGATCAATATAATAATTTACTTAGAGTACGATAATGAAATATTTCAATCCAACAATCATAACTCTTTTTCATATAGCGAGATGCAGTTCGTTCTGAAGATGTACGCATTGAAATTATTAAACATCGTTTAACTATTGTTGAAGTCAATTCAATTGAAGAAAAAGAATTGAAAAATGAACTTACTCAATTATACAGGGTGTGTCGGGATATTTATTTTTGTTTTAATTTAATAATAACACATAATTAGTTTTGTTTAGGATCGAAATATAATTTTCCATAGAATTTATCAAATAGCTTCAACAGTATTATCATTGAATCATGAAAACTATTTGGAAATGATTCTTGAAAAACGTATGAAATTGACTCAACATGATTGTTATATATCTGTGACACAACATATCCATGAAAAATGCTTCGATCTTCAAGTTCGTTAAGATGCCATTCTATTATTTTCAACGATACGAGTTTTTGTTTTTAAATTTAGAATGAATTTGTTCTAAATAAACTTTATATTATGGCCAATTTATGTGAAATCGGTTTGCTTGACATTACTATAAATCAAGCTATTGATGAAGTATGCAATCATCGAATCTATTTTGACTATTAATTTCTTCAAATGTTCGTATCTTGAAACAGTTTTATTTTCAAATAAACACACTTATCATCCGCAGTGTTTATTAAATAATTGTTGGGTTAAAAAACTAAGGATAAAATGACTATAGAATTAAATCTAATATACATTTTTTCTAAAGCAATAATTCATTTTTTTGAAATTTTTACTACCGTCAGTAATACTTTTTTTGAATTAGGATACATGTTTGAATGAGCGTTCTAATAGTATCTACGGTTTTGAGAATGCCATTCCTATTTAGTAAAACCTGTAAGCATGCTCATAAACACTAGCAGATAAAAAATAAGCGATAGTATTGACGAAAATTTTCCACATTTGGAAAATAGTTTGCATATTATAAGCATGAAATATTCCTAGCACACACTTTACGATGAAGTGCCGCTGGACTTCACATCTTTAAAGAATTTTACATGCCGGGAAATCAAGGGGGGGGGGGGGGAAGCAGTTTCTCAGAATTCCGAGTCATATAAATTCAGAAAATATAATTTATATTCTGAACTAATAAAAGCATCAATCGAAACAATATACGAAACAAACTATACAGATAAGCTAGTTGCTGTGAAACAAGGACGTCCTGCCATAAGAAAGTATAATGCAAATTCTTTTGAAATTCGTAATTCGCATCACCGAAGAGAGCAAGTTGTAACATGTTGATTTATGACAAGAGTCTGGTTTATGCTCTTGATATTATAAATTGCATGTATTATCTACGTTGCATAAATAAAACAAAATGATGTATATAATTAGCATGCTTACAAAATTTAGTAAGACGCCTGTCCATGCCCCGAAAATCGTCGTGATTTGGTGATTTCTTAAAAATCGCGATTTTTTTTCTGCTGGACATCCATCTAAAGAAGGAGAAAAAAATCGGTGATTTAGTTTGAACTAAATGGCGCTTCAGCTCACAGTAAATCGCTGATTTGTCTCTTTCTTTACAAGGATGCTCAGCAGAAAAAATTGCACTTTCTACACCGATTTTTAAAAAGTCGCCAAAATCACAACGATTTTGGTGAGATTGGTGTCTTCAGTCGAGACAAATTATAATGCAATCCTATGCGCAAAAGTTCTGAAAAAGTCGTGTCTACACGGTGTATTGTTGAACTATTCTAGCTAATACATTTAATAATAAAAGCAATTGGTACGTAGAATGCAATCTAAGAAAAAAGTCGAATTCTTTCAATTATGATGCAACTCAAGGGGGGATTGGAGGGTTCTCGAGATTTCGAATCCAATGGGAATCCTGGACTCAAATAAAAATCCAGGGAATCCAAGGAATATCCAAGGAATACTTAAATTATATGTCTGAACAACACTGAAATCATAACTCATGCTGATCCATAATAAATATCCCTTCGTTCATTTAATATGTTGAAACCCGTTCCTTTAAGGGAACCCCGTAGTCGTATGGAAAATAAGGGTGTGGACGTGAATGTTTCGTGGGGATGGAAAAAAGACGTAGATCATCGCCATCATCGATATCGTAAACTGAACGTTCTGGGGTATAGAAGCTACTGATTTCTAACGAAATAATGTGATCTTAATCATGACACTATAGTATGGTTATTTATACAGTTCAATTAGATGAGAGATTTCAAACATTTTATACAGTAACGCTTATATTGATTCATAGAAGGATGAATCGGACTACAACTTTAAATCCGGCATAACATATATATAGTTGCAATTGAACTAAGGGACTAGCTCCGAAGACGAACTTGCGGTCTTTTCATTTTATCCAATACTTAGTAAGTCGTAGTTCTGCGATCAACACTAGACTTCCTAGACTGATCAATAATGATTTATCCGTGAATATTAATACAAAAAAGAATGGGCAAATAATCTATTGACTATTAACCAAATGATTGGAACAATATACTAATCGATGATCTTATATTAGTTCATTACCTGGCTCGTTTAATAAAATAGACATGATTAATGAGAAAATATAACAGGTTAATTTTGATCGATATTACTTTGATTTTTACTGCCCTTTCACTGGCAAAGGACAATAAAACAAGAGCTTTTTTTGTCTCTAGTATTGATGCATATCTTATGAAAAAATTTGTCTGAACTTAACGATGACTGGACTATTTTTCTTCTGTAGAAGAATAAAAATCCCTCGACTTTCACAATTCAAAGCAAGCTTAGAGCCAATAATTGAATCTTCGAGAAAAAGACCGACAGCTAGAAAGCAAAAAGGATAGAGATGCGGAACTCGATGAAGATCTTGAATATTTGGGCGAAGCTCAGGCATTCTAGTGCATGCAGAATCTGCTTTGTTCTTGTCCAAATGCAGTGCGTTGAAATTTTTATTAAAGTTCTCAAAAATGTCACACAAGATAAGAAAAAGATGATTTCGAAACAATCAGCTTCAAAATGACCTCATGATCTTCTCCTTTGTGATAATTTTAAAAAGACTAATGGTCAAGCTTATAATCTAGCCTATAATCTTCTTTCCAGGTTTGATTTTAATTTTGTTTAGAAGAAAACAAAGTAGATCAGTTATATGAATCTAGTGTAAAAAAAGTTCGTATTGTCTAATCTGACGAAAATCATTACAACTCATTGGGTCAATAGTCAAACTAGTATTTAAAATGTAATGTGGCTTTTTTTTATATCCAAATCAGAGAAATATAGTTGATCCTAAGACAAAATTTACAATTCGTCTTCTGTGTCAACCAGCGATAAATACCCAGGTGAATGAATCCGACAACGGATCTTATCGAATCGTATGGGATCTGACTCTCCGACAGAATTCGATAGGATTCCTAGACACGAACCTATTGTCGGTTCCGACAGAAAAAATCATTTTCTTACTCACGATCAAATAAGCATTCTGTGCCATCAGAGCGCAAAGGTGATTCGTTAGAGTTGGATTCCGTTAAAATCCAACATCGGATCCGACGGTAGGTCCGTGTCCATGAATCCCATAAAATTTCGTCGGTTTTATTGAAACACATATGGTATTCGGTATATTCACTGTCTGATCATTGTCGGAATCCGATAGGATCCTACTGTCGGAATGATTCTCCTGAGAATCTCAATTTCATACCATAAGAGTCTCCGAACCAATTTTTTTCTTCACTTCCAAACTATTTTTCTTTTGTGTCAAAATTAATGCCAAAAATAGTACAGCCATAGATAGAGAGCCTCTTATCTTTTAGTAGAATCTCATTGATTTATCTTATTGCTTGCTGCTCTTTGTTATCCTACCTCGAACATTTTCTCTTAAAAGTAAGAAAGTCAACTGCTGTGTTGTCAAAATGGACTTGATAACAGTCTAATTAGGTTAAGTGCCTGGAATTTTAAAATAGATAACCCTAGTGAACTATCTCCCATGTAAAAATGCAAAAGAAATCAAGTAAAACTTTCATGCTATAGTCTATTACAACATTGATGTATAGCATGATTTCAGATCTAGATATTTGTTTAAAAAAAGAAGAGGTATAATTTTCACTTATATATGCTTTGTAGTAACAAGATACGTAATTCGTTGTATCTATGTAAAACATAGTTCCTGAAAGGTATTGAATCCTATTATACATCGTATTATTAATACTAAGATATCATGTTATGAATTTTCTAAATTTCACATCGTTTGATCACCTTATTTCGGTCATATATCGATTACCATAGTTATAAACGAGATGTTCGTGAACATTATCTACAGTTGGAAATGTTTGTCCATCTATTTCGGCCATTCTCTCAAAAGAAATCGGTGTTAAAAAATTATTGTTGGCTTGAATGATGTATATAGAAATATTCGATATTGGATTTGTTGCGCTTTTGGCGGCTGTATATAAGTCAATGTAGGCAGATAAGTCCCCCATTACTGTTGGTGATTTACGATGAACAATTTGTCTAGTGAGCCAATTTGTTATTGAATTGTTTTTGCGCACACATAAACGAGACATGCCAAGAGCCTAATACAAATGACTTCTATTTTTCATTCTTTTATCACTATATATGGCATTACCTCGAACAAATGATAGCCATTTTCATACAGTTCACTACGAATTTCATTTGTATGGAGATATGTACTGTTAAAATAGCCTACGTCAATGTCATGTGTCCACGGAATAATAGTATGATCACGTACAGCTCCAAGTAGGCTGCCATAGATAACTACGTATGTTAGGTTATGACTTCGGAAAAATCCATCCAGAAACACCAAAAAATGTTTAAGAATGTAGGCACAACAAGTCTCGTTTTTTGTTGTACATTGAGTTGAATAAGAACACTGAAGAGAAGAACATTCGCTGATGCCTGCTTTGGAAAACTTCATAGTAATTAATGGTGTGATCTCTTTTCTAAAGATAGAAATGCATACGACATATCAGTATGACAATCTCATTTATGATTTTCATAAATATTTTTATGCGCAGAATCGTTTGATAAATTTGTAAAGACTGAGACTTGTCACATGGATAATGTCGAAAGATAATTCCCGTTTGTGAATCATTATTCTAATAAAAAGTCCTCGTATTATATTATCCCCCATAGAAAATCATCAGATTGATATGAAACCGGTCCGGTTATAATGCGTTCCACTTCTTTCAGTGTCATTTTCTGTTAGAGAATATCAATAAATTGTGCTAATAATAATAAAATCTTAAAGGCTCATTGATGTCATATTCATTGAGATAGCTATTAGAAAAATAAGAAAGAAAATGAACACTATGTTTCAATTTAGTGCTAACAGAATTTATTTGTAGCATCTCAAAATATAAAAGTGAAAAAACTGCTTTGCATTTTTCTAGACAAAATCCCAATGCGAGTTTTAAACCATGATAGAGTTTTCAACAAAGTCTCAAGGAAACGTACAAATCTTAGTAAAAAATCATAGTATCAAACATCTACTCACTGTATCCGTTCGAACCTAGTAGTATGATTCGTTGTGTATATGAAATAGGTTACAATAACCACCACAGACATTGTAGTCAATATATAGTAGACCCGTTTATTTTGCGGTAGGC